TCTGTAGCTTGTGGTCACACAATGAGGCTCTGTTCAGGTCATCGGTTTATTAGTAGTGCTGAGACTTTGGGATTTGCAGTGATTCTTTGTGCTGCAACAAATTGTACAAGCCAAAGTATGATTCTGTCCTGCATAATTTCTGGGATTAATTTTTTATTCATCAGGGAGCACAAAAGAAATACTGGGAATGCATTGAAAAGCTATGTATACAGTAATGTTAAACATACCAGAGATATGAACTGTATTGAAACACCAAAGTTGTAGTCGTATTGTGCCTCTCCACTGTGGTCTAGAAAACAATTGTTAGTGAAAGAATTGCTAATAAGGTGTCTTCAATGTGTCGAGTTGCTAAAACTGGAAAGCAAAAAAAAGCATGTTGGGGAGCCAGGTTAAACATTGCAGGACTCCACATTAGAAGTGCAGGTAGGTCCTGCTTGTGCACAGGGTTCAGAGCCAGTTCTGCTGCTTCGTTTGCTTTTGTGACAAACTCTCTCAAACAGTGAACACAGAAATCTGAGAGAATCCTTGTGAAAAAAATTTACCCTAGAGACTCTTCACTCAGTCACTGTCCAAACAAAATTCTGACCAAAAACCTCATTATTTGGCTCTAACACAAGAGTTTGTGCAAAAGTAATCAAAATGTGAAAAAAAAATTAAAATGCCTGTATCTTTTATGGAGGTCTGACTATAAAAAAGAAAATTAAGCTAAATAAAGAGGGTTGGGAAATCCAAGACTTCCCTTAATGCGTTCATTTAAAATATCATAAAATTATATCTGAATGAAAATTATGCTGCCTTGAATTATAGTCTCACAATGTTTCAATATAAATGTTTTCTTCTCCTTGCCTGCCACAGCTAGTCTTTTAAAATGCTGTGTTGCTTCTTACTCTAGTTTTCACATAGCACAACCCGTGACCTCGGCAACAAGCCAAGCTCTTTTGCTTACACTGCACTGCTAAGGCTTTCAGTTTTCTCTTTCCCACAAGACAGATAAAATTAACCCAAAAATTGACCATTTTTAATTTTTGTCATTTCTATCTGAGTGCTAACACCAGCAAAAAAACTGTTAAGATTTTTGCTGTTTGCTGTATTGAAGCATTAGCATTCATGCATGGATATTAGATACATTTTCGAGTATTAAAACATTAATTAATAAAAGGAAAACTTGCAGTCTGCTCTGTAACAGGCTACTGTTTGTATGCTTTGACCTGACATTATGCATTTTATTAGCATACAGAGGAAGTCATACTAAGATCTCTTTCAATTTAGACTTGGTAAGTATTGCTTTAAAAAGCAACTGAGGGCACAATGTTTTATGTGCAGTAATCAACACCCGTACGCTGTGCTGATAGAGAAAACTTGTGAGGCTTATATGCTTCCCTGCAGGCTGTGCAGTAGATCTCTCTTGCTTTTGCTGTCTTGCTGTTTAGAATGTGCAATTTAGATTTGTACTACACAAGACAATTTTACTTTCTGGTTTTTCAAATGACAGCAGAACCATTCTGCTCATCAAAGCAGAGCAGAATTTATTTCCGTAAGGATACCTAAGGGAAGGATAGGGGAGAAAAGATATAGCAGAGCCATATTTTTTACAGATTTGTGTCTCAAGTATGACTGACTTAAGCAAAATGGAAGTTTTTTCCCCCCACTGTTGGTGCCTTCCTCTTCTGTGGTTACTCTGAAACCCAGTGTTCCTTTTGTGACCTGTCTTTCAATCAGAGAACTTGTTGCATTTGGATGAAATGTATTGACTCTTTAGACTTGTCCCTGACAAGAGATTGTTAATTAAAAAAAAAACCAAAACCGACAAAACAGTACCTTATAGACAGACAGTAATTAAAAGATATAGTACTAATAAAAAAATACATTAAAGGTCTCTTTTGGGTTTGAAGAAGTTTATTATCCTTATCTCCTCAACTTAAAAATTGGAAGTTGAATAAAAGTAATCATTGCATATGTTCAGATTCTGATATTGTGTAAAAAGTTCTGCATCTTACATAGAGAGAACATATCCAGGGAAACTTCTGAAAATGAGCTAGAATAAAGGAAGTAATTCATCTTCATTTTAAATATATATTTTTTTAACTTCATTATTTTAGCATTCATCCCTTTACATTTCAGGTAATATTTCCTTCTTTATTCATTTTATTTTTTAAAACACAGATTTTTTTAAGTCTCAATAACTTTTTTCAATAGTGGGAAAGACATTTGTTCTGTTTTTGTCATTCCTGAAGTAACAGAAATCAGTTTCTTAAAGTTTCGAAGAAATTAAAAGAATATAAGAAATGAAAATAGTTGCAACTTAATGACAACATTTCCTTGGAACAAAAAAGCAACAACACAATGACAGAGCAAAGAAACCACCTTTTTTTTTTCTAGCTAGCCTCCTATCCCCCATTGTTTTCCCTCATATTTTACTCCTCTAAAATCCCTGGAATAGGGGGATAAATAGTGTGTTAAATTTTAAATAGTGTTTTAAATTATGAGTACGATGAATGTGTTCATGAATGCATAGAAAATATCACATGTAATTTTAGAGATCATTGTAAAGGTATTTACAGTAAATGTAAGATTTTTAAGCTTCTATTACAGAGAAGAAAACATCAGCATTTTTAGGACCAAAATCTGTCTTATAAAAGCAGACTCAGTGGAAATGCCTCCATGAGTTAGAGAAGCAGTTTTAGTCACCAGTTTTATTCGCATACTCTCCATATTTTTTTTAAAATGTCTTGAACTTTTTCTGATGTCTACATGAGACAGCCTTGACAGCTTTGCTCCAAGTGTGAGTGTCTGAAAGTGCTCAGCTGCCCGTTTCCTTGTTCTGACACAAGCTGCTAATGCACATGGCCTGGACCACCCATATTCCTGAGACGTTAAAAAAGTAATTAAGTACAAAAGTGTCAGGACATTTGAAGGAAATGTCTTCAATCAAGCAGGACTTAGACAGAAAAGCATAGCATAGTAATAAAAGATCCTGAGTTATATGGAACATCTAGCAACAAAAACAGTAGATGCCCTGACATAGACTCAGGGAAGCTTAATATCAGTGGTGAATTATATGCAATGTAATAATGACAGAGAAAAAAAATTACCTGGAACATAAAAAATAGGTAAAATACTTTAAAAATGGGAAGAACCCCGATACACTTCTGAAATCAAGGATAAAAAGGACATACAAAGCACAGAGAGAAGTATTCTTTGTTTCTGCACTTTCTTCAGGAATGACTGCCATGCGTGAAATTCTCTCATGATAATCTAAGGCCCCATTCTCTTGTGCGCTGAATTGTGTGCTGTGTGTAGTTACAATTCAAACTTGAGGATACTTTGTAATCACTGGGCACTCCTGAGTAGAGATTATATGGATATATGAACACTTAGCTCAATTTTCTTTTCTTATGTGTTTGTACTTAATGATCTTCAGATCCTGACTGGTCCTGAAGGCCAGGATGAAACATAAATAATTACTAATATTTTAATAGTAAGTTTCTAAATAGGGTGAAAAAAACCCACACAACCGAAAGTGGCATTTTGACTTTCCACAATTACCTCTTTCTTTTTACTCTTAGTGGGATTCTGAATCTGCAGTGACTTGAATTGATAGCCTGGCTCCACTTTTCGGTCTGTTCGAAAATTAGGCCAGTAGGAGAGCCTTGTAAAGGTTAATGAAAAAATATTATCAGGTCTAATAGATACGACCAGCTATGGACTGCAAATGAATGAGTTGCATTTGATTTCCAAAGGAAAGGATGTGACAAATCACACACACTCCCAAGGCAGGGAAAAAGAAATGTTAAAATATATCAAAGTGAGCTCCAAATTCAGCTATTATCCCTCCAAATTACTTGGGAGAATAGAGAAAGAGAGATTTAAACTTGGAGACTTACAAACTTAATTCTGCATAAAAATAGGAATTAAGAACAAAGAGAGTAATTGAAATTGATGCCAGATATTCTAACACCTTGAGTCCCAACACAAATCAGATGGAATTAAAAGTACTGAGCAATGTTGAAAATCAGGCTCAATATTTTTACAGGACGTTTTGTTACAATGGAAGCCCTGTTGTCTGGACTTAGCCTAAAGAAACATTGGCGACCATAGTTTGTAAGTTATGATCTGCTCTAACAGCAAATGGTATTGGATACAGAAATTAAATTTTATGGCATTTGTTGTACACAAAGTTACACAGGGAGATTTCTGCACTGCAATGGAAAATTGTCTCTACAGTTCCTGTAAACAGATCTAACCCACCTTTATATTAGCTCAGGTGTTGGAAACAGTATAGTTAGTGTATACATTTGTGTGAGAGGAACTTTTTACTATGTGAAACTGAACTTTGTTCTGCCACATTTGTATTGTTAATGGCAAAACGAATCTGCATGGTAAGAATTACGTTGTTCTCTTCTAGTGTTGGATCCATGAAACTGGTGCCTGGCTGTGGCTAATCTGTGCAGAAAACTGACCATTTTAGAGGATAAATTTAGTACTAAATGACTCAGAAATAGAAGGTGGAGATATCTCCTAAAAGCTGTCTTCCAATATTGGAGTCACTCTGGGGTCAATCTACTTGTTTTGGAGTATGAACAGGAAGTAACATCTGTATATCTCTGGAACATAGAGATACATTACAGATGCTGACCCTGAAGGTTACAAAGAGATATGTGAACAGAAATCTCAGAAGAAGTTGAAAATAGTAGCACATGGTTATTGTTAGCAAGAGATGGTACATTCATTACAGTCCACAGTAGAAAGGCAGAGACTTGCAGCTTGTGAATGTAAATAAAGAAGAGCTGTTCTTTGGTATGTCATAGCCTCAGGTGACTTTTGCCTATAGCAAGTGAAGACCCTTACCAACTGCTGTAGTTAATACCCATTTTCCCATCTGCAGAAACCATGGTGAAATAATAATAAATTATGTTCTGCTACTGTTTGTAGGCCTCATGTAGTAAAGTAAACAAAACAGAACAAAAAAGTAAAAATTGACCGAAAAAAACCCCCAACTGTTACAGAGGAATAAGAAGTTTTATTTTAAAGTTATTTTCTAAATGGAAATGGTAAAATACATGCTATAGAAGAGATGCTGGACAAAGTCTTCCTTTTTGCGTTGGCAACAGAAGATTCATCCAAGACACAGGAGGGGATTTTTTTAAGTTAAAGAGGAAATATGTTTTTGGAGAGTCAGTGATCCTAGAGTGGATGATCCTACTCTCTGTGTTGCACAGTATTTGTTTTGCCAGCATCTGTTTCCAGGGGTTCCAATGATAATACAGCTCCAACCATATCTTTCATAAATGTCAGGAGTCTTAGTACAGAAGATAAAAGTTTTTAGAACTAGGTCAGTATTCTGGATGGGGATCCCTGATGTTATTTATCAGGGAATACTACTGAATAAATCAGGAAGTCTAATAAAACTTCTGATAATTGGCTCCTTTGTATGTATGATAGATACAAAAATAATAGTTTAAAATGTCATATAGATTAGACCTCCTACATAGAGCTTGTTTGAAGAGGTTTCTTTTTGGAAACATAGAAATATCTTAGTTTTTATATGTAATAGATGGTTCCTAATAACACTTCTTGTCTTCCAAGTCTTCACTCTTTCTGTTTTTAAATCTGGAAATAATAATGAAATAATTCAAAGTAGACCTTGATTTTCATTTAACAAAATAGTTGTTCTGTGATTCAATGTCACTTTAATAATATAAATTTATTATAAATTAACTTTGAAGGTATAACAGCATTAGTTGTCAAGTAGCAAAAAAATCTTTATAATATTCTCTAGTATTTCCTTAGCAAGTACATTAAAGTGGGAACAGTTTCAAATAAAGAAAAATCCAAGAAGAAATTATGTTCCTAGAGGTCACACTTATCATTATCAGTCTCTGCTGTAAGGAATTCAAGTTCTGGCATAAACCTGTTTGGGGTTTAAGTACATAAATGGTTTATTGTCTTGAATAGGAGTGCTTTGGTCAACAAAAATTTGGAATCTGTAGATTTTCATGAAGCTGTTGAAAGTAATGCTCACTACATAACAGTGTCTGCTGAGGAAAATGCAAATTTATGTGTTTTCATAAGTAGGATTTTCCAAGATTGGAAATCTCTCTCCTTGTTCCATTCTTTGGTTTTATTCAGCCTGTGAGATTTCAGGAATTTGCAAAATTTGAACTCCAGCCGCACTCTTCAGCATTACCATTATAGAGTCCACATCTGGATTCCAGACACTATTTACATGGGCTTATTTTCTCAGGCTGACACTTCCTCTCTGCCTACAATTAGGCAGTGCTGTTCACTGCCTAATTGTAGATAATTTATTAACCATGCGGAATAAAGCGATAACTTTGCTTTTCAGTAAAGTTTACTTTATTGGTATGAAGTACAGAGATATTCTGCTGTGACTATCAAAATACATTTTACAAAATCAACATTCAATTCTCCTTCAGTTTAGAGTATTTAGGATCAGACATTGTCCTGTTTCCTGGTGTACAAGCAGTAAAAATCACAAAGCATCTTTGGATCCTTTTGCACTCCTGAAACAGGAATTTACCGAAGTTTTCACCTCCCTGTTGTCTTGAATATGGAGGGTGTTCATACACCTATGAGTGTGACTGCACTGTTTCAAATCTTGTCTTGTGCCACAGCTGTAGCTATAAAGCCTTTAATTGTAAGGCAGCAATTTTAAGACATTATTTGGTCCTAGAAAATAGTATTTTGTTCTTCTAAAAAAAAACCCCAACAATTATGAAAAGTTCTTTCAACCCCAAATTTTGGAGGAGTGCATCTGTAAATGTATGTTTATGAGAGCCTTGGTGGAAGTATTTCACATCACACTACTTTTCTTCACTCCTTCTTTTTCAGTAGGTAGGAAAATAAAATTTTTCCCTTTCTCAATTGAATTATTTCTGCTTAGAATTCTTGAACCTTATACGTGCTTAAAAAGTATGAGGATAAACTATATGTGTTCTGCTGAAGAGAATGTCTTAAAATATGCGGTAATTCTTAGATGGAAGCTTTACTATACAGGCATTGGACAGTATTGACCATCTTAACATGTTGAATGTAATTACATGTAATCACATGTATTGATTTTTAAAATTAATTTTTCTGGAATTTTTTAGGGCTTGAGAGCCCTAGGCTGGCCTGGAAAAATATTGGAACTTTCTACATCACAATGCAAAAACATCAGTGATGCTGGGATTCTGGTAAAACTTCATCTATTTTTCAGTGTTCCCTGTAAGCCTCCCTATTTCTTTGAATTAACCATGTCCAAAACTGATCTTATTTTGCTCTGCATATCATCATTCATTCTTCATTACACCTTTCTACAGTCTCAAAAATTATTCTACCCTTTCATTCCTACAATTCCATACAGCAGAGATCCATTCAATTATGGCATGAAAAGGTGGATAGAGGTCAGTTTTTTGCTGTTTATTTCCATAGAGAATCTAGTGAGCATGCAATGAACTCAGTTTGAAAATTAAGAATGAAGAGAAAGAGATGACTGTTTCTAAAATGTATAGTTAAACTCTGAAATTTTTTGTCCTTATCACAGGTTGTTTGTAGTTTACCAAAATCCTTATGGAGATTTGATGAATTCAATATGATTGCATAGATTTACTGCTTTGTATTTCGAAAAAATATAAGAAATAAACACTAGTAAGTAACTTTACAGTATTAAAAAGAGCCATCCCTCTTGTTTGGAAGGAGAGAGGATTTACATCCAAATAAGAGCACTTTCTTTCTGTAACTGAGAATCATTCCTAACCATAAGTAACAGAAATGCTTAAATCATGTTTTTTAATTATATCAATTCCATGCCCATAAACAGTTGCAGATCATAAGGCTGCAGGTACAGGCAATGCCATCACATAATCCCAGTTTTCAGCTTCTACATTTTTTCCATTATAAATCTTCAACATCCATCATTTTATAGCCATATATTGTAAAAATGAGTTAGTTGTTGTTGTACCACAAGGGCTGCATCTGGATTGAATCTTGCTACCCAACATACACGTCAGGCCGTTAGGATTCGCCTCTTTGGGAATAATTCTGACTCGCCTTTCATGACTGTTCCATGTAAAGTTCCATGTTTTTAACAATGACCAAGTATGTACATCTTGTGTACCTCATGGAAAGTCGAGTAGTGCCAGTGCTGCTGCTCTCAGAGGAGAATATTACCTTCTGTGTTGTGCTGTGCTTATGGCTAAGAAGCTATTTCAGCTTTCTCATTACAGAGAGTAAGTTCAAAAAAAGACTGCGAAAAAGAAATGCTTACGCTTTCCTCGTCTGCCATATGAATTTGAACTTTCTGCGGAAGAAAGCAGCAGCAGGGAGGACGTGTAGGAGTAGCAGAAGCCATGTTGTCATGGATCCAGGGAGGACAGGAGAAAGAAGAAGAGATATGAAGCAACTTGAAACAAAATGGCAAATTCTTTTTTTAAGTTGAATGTAAGGATGTGAGTTTATGGAACATTTGTAGAGAGTAATCCCATTATAATCCCACTGCCTGTGGACAGTATAACAGTATGTAAATGCTTATGTGATCCCATATATTGTAAATAGGATCTTTGCTCATTCATAACTCAGGTGATGCTCACTTAATGAGCAGCACTTTAGTATCTGATATTTTCATTGACGTTTGTGTGTGTCCTCAGGCCTTCTTTACACAGAATTAAAATTGTGCAAATAAGTTAGAAAATTATATTTGCTTCATATGGCATTTGATTTTTTGTAATGTCTAAAGATTTTGCAAACTTCAAAGAAAATACAGAAGAGGTTGTGAAGGTAAATATAGACATAGAACCAGGGATACAGAGATGAATGGAGCAAACAAAGCTCCATCTCCTTTAGTTGCAAATATAATTTCAATGCTATTTGCGAAATAATGCAGGGGTAGACTTAAGAGTTAAGAGCAAATTCAGAACCTAACTTGGAAGGATATTTTAAATATGTATGTAGACAAGGTATGTTAGTAAAAATAAGATAAACATATCTCATAGGCATTGAAATCTTGGCTTCAGCTCATGTTACATACCCTAGCTGAGAATGTAGTGATTAAGTCATCACATCTGAGGCCTAATTCTGAAGGGTGTGCAGTTTCTCTTGCACATGGATAATAAACATTCAGTTGCTGAGTTGAGAATGTTTATGTGTTACAGGTGACAAACAGCCTGTAGAGCCAAGATTGAAATAGGAAGGGCACAGAAGCCGATCCAGAATATGAATTCTGAATTGTCCACTCTAACCAGTCCTAAGTTAAAACACTTGGCATTCTAGTATTTTGTAAAATAAAACAAGAACCCAAAGCCCAGGAAGCACTGCCTTCCTAGAGCTGTACTGATGGACAGAAAAAAGAAACTGGAGTGAGGATACAGCCAAATTCCCATCTATGATACAAATTTCAGATTTGATAAGTTTCTTTGCATCTGTTTATGTGAGACTTACGAAAATCACACAGAATCACATAATTTTTTGTCATAACAAAGGTAAGATTTTCCAGTAATCAACGGTATGTTAATGTGCGAGTTCCTGTTTTATGTAAGACAAAAATAGCTGTGTGTTAGTGGCAATAGTCTGATTATTGCAGAGTTTTTTTCAAAATGATAAATATGTAATATTTGTCCATGATAAATAGGTGCATTTTTGTGCCTCTCTGTGTGTGCATGTGTTATTTATCCATGTGATCCTTAATCTGTTTACCTCAGGACTAAGTCTTGAAAGCTTTGAAAAGCTTCATGCAACCAATGGTTTTTATTCAATCTACTATGTAAGTATTTCCTTCTTTCCCCTATAGAGGTAGAATTGCATTCCAGTAGATGACAAATTACACTAGCCTTAGGCCAAGATTAGCAGGCCTGGAAGATAACTCAGTAACAAATATCTCACCACGGTTTTAAGCTGAACATCACAGAAGAGGAGAGACTCTCACTGAAGCCAAAGCTTCGGTAGAGCTGCGGAATGTTCTGTGATGCTCAAATCATGGGGCTGTTGGGTGAAGAAATATGATTTTAGGTATCTCTCTTCAAGAGAACATTTCCAGAAAAGGTTTCAAGAGAAGGTCTGCCTTCTTCCCTTTGTAGGCCTAGAAGTGATTATTTTCAGGCTTCATAAAGATTCAGGCCAAAAGGTAAAAAAGTTTTAGAGTGCAAAGGAGAAAAGTGTATTTTAAGAATCTATGTGACCTTTCACGAGAGTTTGTTCTTTTCCAAAACTATCTGTTTTACAGGGCATATGAAAAAGCTATCTGAGTTATAAAGGTGTTGAAATTGGAGTCAGTAGGATCTACAGATGTTTATTCACTCTAAAAAGGAGGATAGAAATTGTAGTCAACCAGTATCACAGTTAACTGTCCTGAACCCCACAGAGCATATTAGAACCCAGAACTTGTGAGTGACAGTCCTAAGTTCTTACCCATTTCTTTCCAAGAAAATAATGTAATTTATACATATTTTTTTTCATTAAAAAAAAAAATCTCAAAGTATAATATATAAGCAATGGAAAATAGCCCTTTAATGCACCTCTTCTTTTACTAGTGACATTCACAGCCAACAGCTGAATGACTTCACTACTAGTAAAGGGTGCCTGGAGAACTGAAGTGCCCAAAGTGGATCCAAGGGCTGATGTACATGTGTTGTAATTGAGGTCACAAAATACCTGTAACCCTGCCATGTCTCTTACTGCCCTCAGCTGACAGATGAAGCTGTGAAAGCAATGGCATTTCACTGCCACAGACTAACATCTGCCAACATAGCGGGTTGCCCAAAGGTATGTATAAGAAATAGGGAGATGGTTCTGGGATTGCTATTGCAAAGAATTACTCACTATTTCATTCAGAAATTTGACCTGCTGGCATCGTTCAGCTGCTTTTCCCTGAGTTTTAAGTTTTGAGACTTAGCTCTTGAGAGGGTTTGGCATACTACTAATGGTTGCAGTTAAAATATAAAGGTGTCCATTCCTGATCAGATAAAAGTTGGTCTCTCTGGGGGTTGATGTCTAGGGAAGGGTGAAGGAAGAAGGGCTTCTAGTGATACTCCTGCAAATATTCTCTCAGGGTTTTGGGTGCTTCCAAAAGGTAGTGTTTTTGCTTTAATAATGCTTGGTATTTTCATGCTTTATTTTTTCCTGTGCTCTTTCTGAGCCCAGGTAAAGTATAAACTTGGGCAATAGAACTTAATATCTGTGGCTGTACATGGCAGGGCAAGTGGCTACTTTGAAATAGCAGAGGTGCCTAAAACCTGATGCACTCAGAGATGTAACTTTATGCTTAATGATTTTGAAGATTCTAAGCCTAAGAAACTAAATCCTTTGGAAAATAAAATTTATGAGTTATTTGGATAACTTCTACCTATGGAAGGGAGCCTGTTTTTTTATAGTCAGTGGAGAGAAGTGTTTCTACAAAGCATCAGTCAGGGAACCTTTCCTCAGTTCTTTGAGAAAGCCCGTCTTTGTTGACTACTAAAAGGAGACTTAGAATAATAGTTATACCAGGGCTATATGAATATTCCCTTAATATCCAAGTTAATGTGACAGTTTTTCTAGTGGTTCCCACTGTCACGAGTGTGCTGGGGAGTCTAATGAAGTGCACTCTTTAGTAGGTATTTATTACCAATAAAACCATGTGTAGTTCCAGCCATATTCAATTAACTAGCATCTGTTCAGGAAAGCTGCTCATTTTCATTCAGGATGTCTAGGTATCTGAAAAAAATTACAATTATTTACAGCAATTAATTTATTTAGATTAAGATTCATCTATAGTGAAACTTAGTTCCTCTTTACTGTGAGCTTACAACTTCAGCATTTTTGCCTCCTGTATTTTCTGTATAATTTCTTTTTGATTCAAGTCTTGCATCTCGGTTATCTTTTTCCTGTATCAGAATGTGTGTTCCCTTTTGAAATTATTGCTATTATGAAGGTCTATATGTCTTCCCTATACTTTGACTTAAAAGTTCTGGCTTTCGTGTCATTAATTGTTTCAGTGGGTTTAATTATTTTCTTTAACAGCAAAACAAAATATTTGCTGCATTCTGACAATAAGCATGCAAATGCAATTTTAAAAATGCAGATTTAAGTTTTTTTAATTTCGTGCAAGAAGTTGTCATGTCACTTCCATCACCATCAAGTGGGAATAGACAAGTTTATTACTACTTTTGGAAATGTTCAGCTTGAACTATCCTTTAAAATCTCGCCACTCACTGGACCAGTTTCTCCCTTTTTTTTCCCACTGAAGCGCCCATGTCCTGTTTCCTTCCCCAATAAGTCTGCAGCCATCGCTTGTCTCTGCCTTCCTCCTCTCCAACACCCATCTCCACAACCCCTGGCTATCCTTTCAGTGCTCCACACAGCCCTCACATCCTCTCATTCCCTGCAGTGGTTGAACGCAGCCTCCTGGGCAACTAGTTTGAGACTACTTGGCTGACTAATTAGCCAGTCCTAAATTATAGATATTCTTTGATCAAGTTGTATGCCTCCCAAATGTGCATAAGTTTCTCAGCCTCTAGGCCAAAACCCACTGGCTGTGTTTCAGATCTGACAGGCCACTGTATCTTACAATAGCCCTCGGTTTATTCTTTGAGATACCTATTGTACACCATTAATTACTATATACATGGGGCTCCATCTCCTGTATCCTTTGCTTTTAGATAGATATTGAGCTGTTTTTCCACAATGACAGTGGTAATGGAAGTTGTGCATGGAGATCTTCCCAGAGTAGTTGAAGTCAGGTAATGTTGCAATCAGTCTTCTCTGCTGTGCTTCCCGCTATATGTTATATACCAAGAAAGGAAACCCAAAAAACTATACACCATAAAAAGTCAGTAAACACATTTAGGCTGGCAATTGGCAGATTTTCTGATTATCACAGCAGTGAATTGTGAAACAGCATCCCAGGAAAGGATGCAGGGGCAAACTCTTAAGGCATGTCAGTATGGCTCCTGGTAAGGGAGTGAACTGGGTCATATTTTGTAGTTCCTGCAAATGGGAACAATGAGTCAACTCAGTGACCCTGTAATCCCCTTCCAACACTTTGTTCCTAGATGGTATCTTTTCTTTAAACAGTTATAAAGCCAATCTGTTAAATGCTAATACCCTATTTTCAGAAAAGAACATCAAGATTCTTCCAAATAAACCTACACATAGGTTTACAAGTCCTTTTTTGACTTGAATCCAGCTTGCAGCTCCATAAAATGAGATGGGTACACTTGTGGATGTTAAAGCTAATGGGTCTTACAAATCCTTTGGCAATCTGTAGTGTAAATTGAGGGTATCCAGCTGCTAAGTAGGGAAATATTTTCCACTCAGAGACTGTTTAAAAAGGTCAGGAGATTAAAATCAGAATGAACCTGTTCCAAAGGGTATATGTTAATGTGTCCTGCAACATCAGAATATATTATATTCAAGAAAATGAATTTTTAAAAAAATCATAGAAAGAGAACATGGGAAAAAAATAGTATAGAAATACATGTGCGCTAAGAATATTTTGGATGTGTTATTCAGGTTACGCTAAAATTAGAAGACCTTATCACTTTAATCATATCTTTTGGGACAAATTGTATTTCAGTGAATTCCAGTGACTTCAGTGAATGGACACTAAGCCTTCCTGTCATGCTTCTGTACACCTTGGGCAGGTACAAGTCATTTTGCAAATGCTGATTCTATAAAATATTCAGCAGTGTTGTTCTGAGTCTTATTCAGGGAATGAACCTGATTCAAGGGTAATTCTTATTTCATAGGGAAAAAATGAAGTTGCTGTGGGAAACATATCCTACACATGAAAATATACAGCAAGAACTGAAAATAAATCTCTGGTTAAATGAATTGGCTATTTAAATAGCAAAGTTCTGAAGACACAGTTCAATGAACAATGAATTCTGTAATTCAGTCCTCTAAAGGGAATAGATTGAGTGTATGACGAATGTAGATTTCTCTAAATGCATCTGATACCAATTACTGACTACAGAGCCAACAACTTCTTTTTATTTCAATAGGAATATTAAACTACTTAATGATATTTTAATCTATTTATTAATCTATTACAAATCCTAATATTGAGCATATAAATAAATCTGGAATAAGCAAAGCACATATACATTCCTCTATATACCAGGAGGACTGTCATGAGGTAGCGTTCGTTTGTTCCAAGGTCCCGGTTTCATCTTGCCTCCTTGTCCCTTTTAGATTCTCATGAGATTGGCTCTTTAATACAAGTGAAACCCTCATCTCTTTCCATCATCCTGCTCCAGTGATTTTAATCAAATATCTTTAAAAGGTTTTTACTATGTTCCCTCTTGATTTCTGGTCCTGAATGAACAAGGTAATTAAAGTATTGCATAATGTATTCTTGACTGTTCCTGTTGAGGTCAGTGGAGCAATTACTAGCTTGCATGGCTGTTTATGTACCCTGAAGACTCTATGTGCCATGTTTTTCTCAAATGCAACTTCCAGCATCAATGGCAAGTTCCTGAAAAATAGAGTTGTGAGGTGAAACTAAGCAGCTGTGCTTCAGAGCTAAAAAACCCCACTAGACATTCAAAAGGTCTTGGTGTGAGACACCAAATTGTAACAGAGAACTGAGATAAAAACCTTGATACAAATGCATCCTAATAGTTCAGTGAGAGCAATGCAATATCAGGTAATGCTAAGGGCTTCTATGTCCTACATGGACATATATGGTTGGGAAAGTTAAACCATCCTCAGTAGGTGAAAAAATCCCACAATATTTTAGACTAGACTAAAATCACAGTTAACTAACTAATATCTAATATTAGAAAGTGACAGTTTCTGTGGAGCCTCTTGGAGAGACTCAAGAATTTTGCTGTGCCAGAAACTTTACTTCCATTTTAAAATATAGTTTTCCCACAAATCAGACACTAATGCTGTGCTCAGTGTTTTTTCTTTCAGCTGTTCAATAATCTTCTAACTTCTGCGTGTCTTGTTGCTTCATTTACAGATAACTGATACACGTAACCAGTACTTGGCTGCAGCCTGTCATTGTCTTCACTTCTTGGATGTCTCCAGTTGCATTCATCTTACTGACAAAACACTGAAATGTCTTTGGGAAGGTTGTACTGTAGAAATATTACCCAGAGGATGAGGATTTTCCTAATCTTAATTCAGAGGTGGCTGTGAACCCCAAAACTTGCTTCTTTAACTAGGGGGTGTCCACACTGGTGCCTTAGGATTCCTGTGGTCTGGTGGGTTATGTACATATTCCAGTGTCAGCCAGAAGTGAAGAGAAATACAGACCCCCATCTATCTTTATGGCAGACAATGTCCATTTAGGGAAGTTTCTGCAGACACAGGATATCACCTCAAGGGCACACGGGAATATGAAGGAGAAAACCAGATGCGGCCTAATGCTCTCAGCCATCGCATTATGTACTTCAGCTCACTCCAAGAGTTTGTGGGAGCCTGTTTCCCAGTGACTGAATGTCAGTATATGGCAGAAGTAGGTGTAGGCCTGTGCTCGAAACACAGGATAGTTACAGAGAATGAGTAAAGGTATGGTGCCGTGGCCACTGTCCCAGGGAGCCTGTTGCAGTGACTGACCTCTTAGGGAAGAACCTTTTCCTGAAGTCCAGTCTGAATTTCCCCTGACACAGCTTGTGCTTTATCACTGGTCAGCAGAGGAGGAGGTCAGCACCTCCCCCTCCGCCCCCTCCACTACCCACCCTTGAAGAAGTTGTACATGAATTGCCATGAGGTCGCCCCTCAGCCTTCCCTTCTCCAAGTGACCTCAACTGTTCCTTGTAAGTCTTGTCCTCAAGACATTTCACCATCTTGGCCACCTTCCTCTGGATGCTCTCTAATAGCTCTCTATTCTCTTTATGTTGTGGTGTCCACAATACTCAAGGTGAGGCTGCCCCAGTGCCGAGCAGAGCGGGACAATCCCCTCCCTCACCCGGCTGGCGATGCTGCACCTGATGCCCCCTCGGACATGGTTGGCCCTCCTGGCTGCCAGGGCACTGCTGGCTCATATTCAACTTGCCATCAACCCAAACTCCCAGATCCCTCTCTGAAGGGCTGCTCTCCAGCCTTTCATCTCCCAGTTTGTATGCCTCCAGATAATTTATCAAAACATTAGAAAAGTACTGGCCCTGAAATTGAGCACTGGGGAACCCCACTGGTGACTGGCTGCCAAATCCAAACCCACCACATCTACTGGCTTCCCTTGGTCAACCAGATGGATGACTTTGTCATAAAAGGAAATTAAGTTGGTTTAGCAGGACCTTCCCCTCATGAACCCATGCTGGCTATGCCCAATGACTGCATTGTCTCTCAAATGTTCTTCAGTAACTTCCAGAATAACCTTCTGGATAATTTTACCAGGCACTGAAGTGAGACTGGAGGGCCTGTAATTGCTGGGGTCTCCCTTCTTACCCTTCTTGAAAATTGGGAGAGCTGAGTTTGCAGTTGATTTTTCACCTGTGAGTCTCAAAAGTTGTGGCTTCAATGAACACCACCCTTCCATGGGGGTTAAGAGCATCACAGCCCAGGCACAGTGGCCAGACATGCCACAGGACCTGAAACTGGACAGGAATTAAAGTTTAGACATGGTTGATATATCTGAGTATACAACTTAATAAAAATTTATGAGACTAAGAAATATATAATACCATCTTATATGGAGAGTCTATACTAGGAGAGCTCTAACCCCACTCTAACAGGACCATGGTCGGGAGTGCACTCCCTGCTAAACCATTCCAGGGATTACTAGTCACTTTAGAGACCACAAGACCAATGTAAATGCTTAATAAGTTCAAAGATATTTCCAGTGAGCTTCACACTTTCCAAACACCCCTCTGTTATTTCCATGTCTAACCACAAAGAATTCTGCTGTCATTGCTCTTATATTCACTTCTCTCCGACTTAGTTTTCTCAATGTCATCTCAGAACTTCCTTCTTAAAACCTCTACTTCTAATTAAATGCTTGTTAGATACAGAAAGTGCTTTGAAAGATTGGTATGCGAGAGTAGTAATTGAAAAAAACAACCTAAATTAATTCAGATTCATTTAATCTCTTCATAGCTTTATGATTTACAGTTTTTCTCATACTAAGCCTCGAGAGATTTTCTTTTATCATCAGATTACTGTTGTTGACTTGTTTATTCTGTGACTTCACATCACTCTTTAGAGCAGCAACACTGCACTGCTTCAGCCCTCTAAGGCCTTGGTTGCTTATCCATCTTCCCGTCCAGGTGAGGTGTAATAGGAACAGAAATTTGTGTGAATTCCAACTTGTGTTGGGTGAGCCACGATCAAAGACCTGACATGACTTATGTGCATTGTTGCAGCCTGGATGACCGAGGATTATGCCTCTGCCTCAGAGTCCCATATGCTATGGGTTCTCCAAGCGTCTTGATTAAACTCTTCTGACTCAGCCAAGGAATTTCTCAACCAGTTATTTTTACTGTAAAGAAAACCCTGGAGAGTTATAGATCTTTGCAAAACAAAAAAGCAACCATGAGACACACATCTCCGCCCAGTGTTATCTTTGCCCTTTTTGTGATTTTTAGAACCAGGCAAACTTTGCCAATTTTACTTTTTTGAGCCTGATTTTCTGGACAGCGGATGGTCCTTTTCTTTGCCAGCCTCAGCCTCTAATCCTTTGCACCATATGTTCTATGATAGGAAACTCCTGAGTCTGGGACAAAAACTATCAGACGGATCAATCATGCAGATTAATTCAGCACTGGATATTTTTTGCTTGTTCTTTCCAACAGGTCCAAAGACCCTCCCTAGACCCTGCCAGGCCACAGGCCAATGATATTCAGAAGATAAAAGGGAGTTCACAGCTAGATTCACATATATTCCACATCCTGCATGTTTCCCACTTTAGCATTTTTTCATTACAGTTTAAGGTCAATATGGCAAAAATGATAAAAAATCTATCTTTTGCCAATAACTACATCAAAAGCACAGCATGATTCTATAATTAGTTATCTTGCAGTGTCTCTTCAATGACATCAAAAGCAATGACAGTATTGTCACCGTCACAACATATTTCTATAAAACTACGTGTTTCAGTCACAACCTATATGTTTTTTGTAAGGAATAATAAGCAACAGGTTGTCAGGAAAATAAACAATGGGGCCTCATTCTCTGTTTTCAAACTAACTCTAAAACCTCATTCAGGTTCCTAGATTTTCACAGGATGTAAAGGCTGGTTTCAGATGTTCTGCATGTGTGAAACCTACACTGCAGAGACATTTCATTCCCTGTTTAAAGAGATCATCTATGTAAAAATCAGATTCAGCTGGAGAACTAAACATGCTAGTGGCTTAGGTTCTAAATAAGCAATGGAAGAAATATGTTTTTAGTTTAAAGTTGCCCTAAAATCTCTATGGATCCTGTATACTTCACTGTGCCAAAGGAATTCCCCATTATTTATTGTTAAACACTAACCAGTCCTAGCAGACATCTCTTAATAGACTAAACCTTTCAAATATTGAGTACATCTCTTGTATCGTGTCACATTATTTTTCAAAGTTTTTTTGATTTTTACTGTTTTGATGGATTAAAATAGAAAACATGTGGAGCCACAAAGTTCTTCAAGTTTCAGTCCAATGTAGCTTCATAGGAAACAGTTACTAGTGTATAAATTGTCCATTCTTTCCAGTATCAGGCAGCATTCGAGGTCATATTTGCCGACATACTGCCCTGGTTCCAGGTTTAATAAATGTTAGAAGAAAAAAAAGGTCTCTGTGTCCAGAGGCTAATGACCTGTCAATTAAACCTGTTTCTAAATGCCAGAAAGAATCATGGATAATCTATCTGTGGGAGAATATAGTACTGGTACAGTTTATTTCTTCTACTGGAGAAAAAGAAAGCTAACTAACCACTTTTTAAAGCATAGCCTCTGTAGGAAAAAGTTGTGTCAGTTGTGATTTGCTTTGGACTAATCCTACAGGAAATAACACAGTGGCATCTTCAGAGAAACACTTCACTATAAAACATTCTGTGTTACCATTTCTAGATGCAAAATGAGAAAGGAAAGATGTCATTGACAACAGAAACCAGCCACTCTTCTGCTCTCCCCAAACTGCATCTCATCTGTAACAGTTTTGTTCCATCGAAAGATCTTCTTTAAGAGCAAAATTAAATGTTTCCTTCTTTCTTGTATGCACTGATATAAAACTAGTTACATTTCTCCTAAAATTATGACTACACTGTTAACAAGTGACTCATCAACAAATGCTATTAAAATTTTTGCCTTTTGAAGAAAAATTACATTGGATCTTAATAGCTACAATACATTTGGCATTTGAAGAACATTCTGATTTTTGTTTGGTTTTGTTATTTTTGTGTTTTCTGATGGTTGCTGTTGGCTGGAAAGGAGATTGCAAGAACTCTTTTTTCCTGAAAAAGCAGAATTTCTTAGGTATTATCCAAATATGCAGGTCTCAAGGCAGGAAGGATCTGGAAGTCCAACACATATGTAACTGGAAATGAAGACAACCTACACATGACTAACAATAATTACTCCTAAGTTTTCTTCTAAAAAGCAACAAAAATAAAGTACTGTCTTCTCACAGACTCTCAATTGCTCCTTGAAGTGGCACAGAGGCTCCTGGAGTGCCATGTTTCAGCCATCATGTGCACATGAACTGGATGCCATAAAATGATAAAACTACTGCAGCTGACATAGGCCTCAGAATACTTTGGATTCAATGTAGTCTTAGCACCTTTGGTAACCTGGAGCATGCATGCAGGATGCTTCCTGCTTTTCCCATTAGCTGCCTGCCTCCACTTGCCTCTTTGGCTTGATTTCTCCTGCACTTGCACTATAAACAGTTCTCCCATTTTTAAGTTTTTATTTTCCATTACTTTTTACTCTTGATTGGTTTCTGTAACCTCATCTCAAAAAGTCTTTTTCAAAACCTCTGCTTTTTATTATGATGGACCCAGTCAAACATTGCTGAATTTTGGAAAGGACAGGATTCAGACCATGATGCAGAACTGTATTTCCTACCCCTTCTCGGTAAAAATGATTGAAACTTTGGAAAAGGATGCAATTACGTATTCCAGTGCGGCTCAAGCTGTGTGATTGGGCCAGTACTTTTGTCTCACTTATACCAGGAGATAGTTGTTTTGCCAAAGATAATTGCAATTATTTCCTGAAATGCTTTTAGTCATCAATGTGTTCATTTAAGGCACTATATAAATAAATAAGCAGGCTCTATCATAGTACAGTATATCTTAAATAAACAATCTTTTTTGCCATGTGTTGACGATTAATGAATGGCTGTTTCTGGCAAACCATTCAACTGCAGGTCCAGGCATCAGACACCATAAATTTCCAAAAAAATAGTAACAGCTCCCCTTATACATGCTTCAGACAGCCACCATACATTGCAGTTTCCATGAAAAACAGGAATTTGGACTTAGATGAGTTGATTTTTGTTTTATAGCTCAGAGCTTATAGCTCATATAAGTTGTGCACACATTCCTCCATGGCACAGGCCTCCCTAATATAAAAACAGATGCAGCCTTATGTTCATGTGGTTTATACAGTGTGTCAGTGTTGGAGATTTAAAAAAAAGTATCCTGCAGTGGCTGAAAAGGAGTTCTCCTTGCTTCACTAATTTTGTCCCTTTTCCACTCCTGCCCACTTCCTATTTCCTGCTGTGGTGGTGCCAGTATTACAGCTGGGCATGTCTGCCTCTTTTGTAACCAACTCAGCATTTCCACTTTAGGAAAAAAAAAAGAAAGAAAAAACACTGCAGTAGCACTACTGGCAGATAACACAGCACTTTAATTTGGAATTTTTTCTAGTATAGTCTAGAAGCTGTATACTATATCATTACAGAGCTTAGGAATTGGTCAGCAGGAAGGAAGACTGCCTTGCTGTGGCTGTGACACACCAGATCTGGTTGAATCTCCTGAAGAGGAGATGTAAAGAGTTGGCTCTTCCTCAAGGAGCACAAGAGCACACAGCCCAGGGGAGGTTTCTGGAGCACAGGAGCAGCAGTGGGGGAGGTGGGTGTGGAGCCAGGAGTGGGCTGACTGCCAGGTCACAGAAGGGATGGAAACAGAGAGATGTTCAAAAGACTGAAAGTGGCAGGTTGAGTTTCTTCAGCTTGAGAAGGTAATGAAAGTTGCTAGACTGATACTGCTGGGAAAGGAGGGAGAGGAGAGAGCTGCCCTTCAAATCCTTTTTAGGGTGTCTCAGATAGGAGGCCTGATTTTCTCCTATTTTGATGTAGTTTGTTGCTTTTGTGTTCTAATGCCGTTAAGAGGCAGTGGCCACAAAATGTTGAGGGAGATCTGAAGGGTCATGGGTAGTTTTGGACATCGCAGATAACTCTTTTCTGGTTCAGCTATCAGAGAGGCTGCAAAACACAGCCTTGGGATGGTCTAGGACCAGTGCAGGTAACTGTAAGGCTCTATAGCACTGCCCTCTGTGTACTCAATTCCATTTCTGAAACAATACACTTTACAAGAGGTGGGTGACAGAAGATAACTACAATGGAGAGGGTGCCCAAAAAGAAAGCAGAAGGTGAAGGAGGAAAGGGTAAAAATACTTGGAGGTGTTAAAGACACTGTTCAAATAGAAAAACAGAGAGAAAGACCTGCACACTTACTTTAGCCTTTCTATAGAGCTAAGAAAAATCACTCTGGAGATGCTGTGATACCTTCTGATGCAGCTGGTTTCTTTATCTTGTTTGGTGTTGTTTTCGTCCAAACACAATGCTGTCATTCCAGTGGCCTTGCCTACTCAGATCTGTGTTTAGGCAGACACTGGCACACTAGAGCAAGTGTGGATGAAGCCCACCAGGACCATTAAAGGGTTGGAATGCATGACTTTTGAAGAGTCTTCAGAAAATTGCTTTGCTAAGTCACAAGAGAAGGCTCAAGATGGAGGAGACCTTATTTGCTGTCTCTGATTCTGATCAGAGGATACAGAAGACAAGACATAGCCAGACCATTCTCAAAGGTGCACTGATAGGACAAGTGGCATACGTAAAATTCTGATTACAACAAAACTAATTTTTTAATCATGAGGCTGGTCAAACCCTTCAATAGGATCTCAGAGGCTGTGCAACCTTCAACCCTACAGATACTCAGAACTCATCTGGCAAAGCCATAACCCACCTTGTCTAGTTGGATCCATTTAAATCAAGACCAGGCTTAAATGATCTCCAGAGACCTCTTCCAACCTAATTTCTCTATGGCCTAAAAAATTATCTTCTGTTTAAGTTTCCACATAGCTCTTATAATAATCATAGCTTCAGCTAAAAAAAAGGAATTTTTCTCATTAAACTGCTTTTAGGGTTCTTTGTAGAAACAGCCTCTGAAAATGTTTGTCATTATTATTTTAAAACCCTTGTTGCAGACAAGCTGTCTTGAGAGAAACATGAATATAATGATGCTAATTTGGATATGACTGGGATGGTAATATAACTACCTTCACCAAAAAACACAGATCAGAGCCTGAATAAACAAATTCTTCAAATGAAAAATGAAGAAATTGCACAAAATCTCCTACAGTTCAAGGGTTTTTCTCTAGAGCATGAAAAGAACACGGTATTATTTTTTCTTAAAACTAATCACACTTTAATAAAAGGCCATTTGTTGCATTAGTAAGGAAGCGTTGCAAATCTTTCTCACGGGAGTGCAAATGCCTCCAAGCAAGACAGCTGCACTCAGACAGCACTTCTAACCCTCAGATGTTGATTCAAGCTGTCTTCATCTTTCGATAATGAAAGTTTTTGTAGTCCCATGCAGGGTAAGCAATAAATAAATCTGCATGTGTTTGGGGTTCTTGTGTGCCATGAAAGTCCTCTCCAGGCCATTAACACTCTGACTCCCCACAGAACTTCACACTTGACATGGCTGGTACTCATCAAGTACAGCATTCTTGAGTAACTGAGAACAGTGAGTAGGTAGTGACTGCTGATTCTTTAATATGCAACGATACATGTACATTTAAGCACAGTTCTCCACTTCTCAACAGCCACCTGTGCACCCAGAGCCCTAATTCTCATAAAACCCTCTTGGGCCGAGCTTGTCTCTAAGTAAGCTGCAGATCTGAACTGTGAGCTGGCTGGCAGCTGACAGATCAGGAGAATCAAATTAAAAAGAGCACAGATAAGAAAAATGTTAAAGAATAAATTTTCTCCTGCTACAAGAACATGTCTTCTCATCAAATGGATGAACAAAAAAAAAAAAGCACACATGGGATTTGCCATTCAAATTCTAATTACTGATAACCTACTAATCTTCACTTGTCTACAGAAAAATATAGTTTCACCTCATTACAGCAGAACAAGACATTACTTAATGTTTTTTGGGAAACTCCCAAGGATTTGTCCTTCTTCAGCTCATTCTTGACCTTTATATTAAGGTTCTAGCTTGTCTCAACATTTACTACCTTTGAAAGAATATAATAATTAGCTTTAGTGGTAGCACAATTTTTCTGCTGGCTTATTTAAACTTCTTTAAGCAAGTAACTAACAATCCTGATGTTTAAGTCCTGCTAGTTTTGGAATATGAATGCCTTAGCTTGCTTTCTTTTGAAAGTAGAACAAATAACATGTTTTCTTACTATGTTCTTTCTTATATTGCTGATGCAGCAGTCCCAAAAAGCACAACCTTAATCTCAGAGGGTGACAGGCTTTGTACTCTGTATGAATAATGGGAACATTAAATGGACTTGGTCTTCTGAAATATCTATTAGACTGGTTTTATGTTTCCATGTGGTGTGAATTTTGAGGTGCTTCTTTCACTTTGACTCCAGCATAGAAATCATTAGTTTCAAAAATTTTTCGGAATATCCAAACCCATTAGAGATTTATTAATATTGTACCTTTTAAAAGTATAATAATAACTAGTAATATTGTAATGCATTTAGTAATACTATTAGAAGTGTTTTATATATTAGCATTTATATTAAAAACACATATAACTTATCATAAACATCAGTGCCCACTTCATCTCAACAGTACACACAACAGCAAAAAGAACGTGGAGTTTTTAACCACCCTAAATTACAGTAAAAATGCTGCTCTTGACTACTGAAGTCCATCAACCAGGGACAATTATACCTTCTGGAGAATCATGTGGCAAAGAAGTTCATCTCATAATGTACCATTATGATCTAAAGCACACACACATGCACACAACCTAAAACCAGAGCTGACAGTCTGAACTCTCCTCTGCTACTCTCCATCCACTCATCTGGCAGAGATTCTTACATTTCAGTTTTAAAACACAAATTTCAGTACTTCTTTTATAAGGTGTCATACAGATGTATGGAAAGGCTTTTAAAAACTCCATTTACTTTACTGTGTGTTTCTGTTACAGTAACACAAAATCCTTCACAAAAATCATGTCTGCCCTTGTGCAGGGCCTACCTCCTTCTCTCACCTCCCTCCTCTCCCTTCCTGCCTCAAAGAGCTGACTGGCAGCCTTGCAGGATAGGGATGGAAGTCACTGGAAACAGATTACAGTTCTCAGTTACCAAGCCAATACTTCCATTCTATGGCAGCTTTTACTTCAGGGGAATGTTCATGTGGACTCTCACCTGAACTCCAGTTGGTGGAGTGTTCCTCCTTGAAATCAGACAGACCCATTACACTTCTATTTACTTTAAAAGCTTTTCTTTGCAGATGATCAGCAGCAGACATAGCTAGAGCTCTTATTCCTATCCAGAAACAAGCAGTTCAAGAAGACATGGAGCAAGTTTTGCCATTTCACAGCAATAGTTTTACACAGAGTATCCACTGACAAGGCAGAAACTACTTACGGTCCAAACACCAAACGAGAAGACCACAGAAGAACTACAGTTCTGAAAGTGATTTTATCCTATTCACAATAGAGACAATTTGGTTAAAGAAAATTCGTTGCATTTTGCATAAACCAACAGAATTTCCACAGTATTGAGACATTTAATTTAAAAGTGTAACAGAGCCTGCAAAGTACGTCAACTTGGAAGTAAATTCTCGTATCTGGAGATAAGAAGTGTCGAAAATGCTTTTTATTTTTAAATGACAATTCCAAACTTTTGTTTGAAACCTACCAGCTTTTAAACTGACATGGTAAGCGGGTCAAGGTATATAAATTCTGAATATGTAAGACCATCTTATTCCTAAAAGGCACTAAAAGTACATCAGACCTGTTTAGCACCAGCACTGTCACAGGCAAATCTTGGATTAAAACACCCTCAATTTTTAATATCCTTTCTCTCTTATATGAAGAATATACATCAACAAAGTTCCATAATTTTACACAAATGTTCCTTTACAATTTCTTGATTTAATCCCTTTGGCCTATTTCACCATTAAGAACTCTTCAGCTTGACAGACTGGATCCAACTTTGGCTTTTAAGATATACTTTGCCATTTTGTGTGTCAGCCTTAATCCATTTGTCTGTTTCATCCTTTTGATTCATGTGACCTGAAAAAAAGAGTTTTGTTCATTTAATTTCACACACAGTAAGTGTATCATCTTTACACTGCCATTCTTTCAAAGCTCCCTGGAAGAGAGCACACTCTTTCATTTGGTAGAATTTGTCTATTTTTAATAGAGGCTGCTGACATTTCATTCTTGATACAGTTTATTCGCATTAATCTTGTTTCCCATAATACATCATCACAATAAAGTTTTGGATCTTATTCTATAATACTGTACTTTTTATTATGGGCTAGCAATATGTTATGGTGGGCTAACCCTGGCTAGATGTCAGTGCCCACTAAAGCTGCTCTATCTCTCCTCTCCTCAGCTGGACAGGATAGAGAAAATATAATGAAAGACTCATGGGTTGAGATAAGGACAGGGAGAGATCAATCATCTGTTACCATCATGGGCAAAACACTCAACTTGAGGAAAAAAAAAAATTTTATTGCCAATCAAATCAGAGTAGGGTAATGAGAAACAGACCCAAATCTTAAAAAACATCTTCCCCCCACACCCCTCCCTTCTTCCTAGTTCAACTTCACTCCTAAATTCTCTACCTCCTCCCCATCAGTGGGACAGAGTGGGGAATGGGGATTGTGGTCCATTCACCACATCATCTATCTGTATTTCTCCTTCCCCCATAGGAGGAGAACTTACGTTCTTCCCCTATTTTGGCATAGGCTCCTTCATGGGCTGCAGGTGGATCTCTGCATCCTCATGGCCCTCTCTGGGCTGCAGGGGCACAGCTGCCTCACCAGGGTCTGCACCATGGGCTGCAAGGGAATCTCTGCCCAGAGCACCTCCTTCTGCTCCTGCTTCACTGACCCTGGTGTCTGCAGGGCTGCTTCTCTCATATATTCATTGTCACTCCTCTCTCTGCTCGTGCAGCAAGCTTTTTCCCTTTAACTGTGTTATCCCAGAGGTGCTAACAATGTCACTGGTGGGCTTGGCCTTGACTGGTGGTGGGCCCATCTTGGAGCCAGCTGGCATTGGCTCTACCAGACATGGGGGAAGCTTCTGGCAGCTTCTCACAGAAGCCACCCCTGTAGTAGACCCCTTACCAAAATCTTGTCACACAAATGCAATACATCTATCTATAAGTACTGGTTTTGTCTGGGATAGAGTTAATTTTCTTCATAATAGTTAGTACAGATCGTGTTTTGGATTTGTGCTGAAAATTGTGTTGATAACATATAAAATTTGCTATTGCTGAGTGGCCCTTGCACAGCATCAAGGCCTTTTCTGCTTCTAATACTGCCCTGCCAGCAAGGAGGCCATGGGCACACAAGAAGCTGGGAGAGGACACAGCCAGGACAGCTGACCAAAGGGATATTCCACATCACATGGCATCATGCTTAGTATATAAAGCTGGCAGAAGAAGGAGGAGGGGAGGAGCATTCTGAGCGACAGCATTTGTCTTACCCAGTAACTGTTACATCCCCTTCTTTCCTGGGAATGGCTGAACACTTGCCTGCCCCTGGGAAGGAGTTAAAGAATTCCTCGTTTTGCTTTGTTTGCATGTGCAGCTGTTGCTTTACCCATTAAACTCTCTTTATCTCAAGCCATGAGTTTTCTTACTTTTACTCTTCCACTTCTCTCCCCCATCCCACTGGTGGGAGTGAGAGGCTGCATGGTGCTCCGTTGCCAGTTGTAGTTAAGCCATGACACTACATGACATATTAATCTGGTTAAGTAATTTGAAAAGTTTTCATTATTACTGTAAATACAGAAAAGAGACCTCATTATCCAGATGACCAGACATGTTTCTACTATTACTGTTTTCTTATGATAATGGCCTAAAAAAACCCCAAAAAACCAACTCTGAAATGTCCGTCTTCTTACGTTTCACATAAATTTAGTTTCACAATTATGCTCTGAAAAGCTCACTGTATAATAGAGTTCAACTTACTCTCTCTTAGCCTCAGTTTCTTAATTGTAAAATGAGGGTAAGTGACCTTCCAAATTTATACAGATTTGTGTCCAAATTGGGAATTAAACTGAGATCTTTTAATCAGAGCCTTTATCACAAGATCAACCTTCATGTGTTCGTGTAACTGAGTGAATTCTAAGTTTAGAACTAGTTTGAGCCTGGAATAGCATGAGGGATGGCAGGAAAGCAGTTTCTGAACCAACTTTGCAAAACATGCTCTGCTCTGTAACACAGCTGAAGTTAAATGTTGGCCACAGCAAAAACAGTGGCAGAAGTCCAACTGACATCACTGCATCGATTTCCAAAACTCAGCTCTGTGTGCCAGAACTTTTCAATAGCGTTTCAGTTCTAAGTGATATCCATTTAAGTTTATGGGCCAAACCCACAGCAATTCACTACAGGCTGAGGTACCGTTTAGAAGTACAGAGTTTTCAGAGTCCAACAGTGACAGAGTCATTTTGAAGCCCTTTGTTGTCAGATTACACCATGCCTTCAGGTATCTCCGTGGGGATGTCCCAGTACAATTTCTGCACACCTGATTGTTCGGGGCAGCAGCAATCTCAGCCACACTGTGTCAGTACCATTCCTACTGTAAGGCAGAAGCCACAGACCGACTCGCCATCTCATTATAGACTTAAATCTAGGATGATCATCACCAATAGCCTACAAGTGACAAAAAATTGAACCAAAAAGGGAAAATTTCAGTTGATCCTTTAACAGAGTTGTAAGACATTGAAAACACAACTTTTTTCCTAAAGAGAGAGGACACAATAGATGAAGGGCAGAGATATATTTCCAGAAATTGCATATTGGAGCACTTGGTCCTAGTTCCTCTCTCTGTTTTTGTGACTATGGCTTGTACTTCTGTACAAGGAGCAAACAGTGAAGCACGGAATTAGTGCTATAAAAGAAGTTTCATGCACTGCTTACACCCTCCTACACTTACGCTAAAAAGTTAAAGAAGATTTTAAGAAACACAGAAGCAAATTTACAAGAGCCATTTTAAAGCTCAGTGGCTGTCTGAGCTCTGTTTCTCATTTTGCATTTGATATGTGAGAGTAGAAAAAAGTTTAGTTCCTTATACTTCTTTTGGAGATTTGCCTGTGAGGGGAATGCAGAAAATACCAAATTCCCTGCAAGAAAGTAGTGTCAAATTCCACTTCATAGGGATGAAGATCTTCAAACTATTTTAAGGTTATTAAGCCCATCACTAGTAGCAGATTCAAAGATATTTAAAATATTTAAATAGCTCTGTGTATGAGGCACTAATCAAGCAATAAGGTTTAGTTGGAGACCTTTTGATGATCGTTTGGGTCTTAACTGTACTCGCTGCTTGTACACTGTGGAAACATAAGTGGATTTTGAGGATGACTTTGCTAGCTTGATTAAATCACAAAAGCAAACAGCCTTCTGGATTGAGAATTGGGGGGCGGAGGGGAAATAAAGAGATTTCATTTCAAAACCCACCAATCAAGACAGGAGAAGGCAGATACACCATTATGCTGAGTGGCCACCTTTTCGACTGAATGCCCAGGAAAAACATTGGGGTTTTTTCCCCCCCATGCGTAGTGTGTAAGGGAAGACAACACCTTTGCAAACCTTTACAGTCAAGTACTGACTGTTTATTTACTTGCCTTCCTGAAGACTGGAGAAGTTGAGACCTCTATTTTCATACCATAAAACACAAGAAGAGGATCATATTTTAAATGTTGTTCACTTGTGGTGTTAGGACTGTGGTATATATCAAAAAGGCTGTGAACAGCTTGAGTTAAATGCAAGCTGAAACCAATAAAAATCTGTAGGATAGCATCTCATTTAATGTGTCTTACAAAAGTTGGATGAACTTTCTATTTCACTTGAAGGAATGTTATCTTTTCCAGATACAACCTGGGTCTTTGTTTATTTTTTTTAAGATATTGCTTAAGGATCAAGGCTTCACAGAAGGCAGCGTTTGGAGGGACACTGTAAAACAATGCTCTTCCCACTCAATTCTAGGGGCCATGAGTCAATAAAAACTGCTTCTAAGAAAGAAGGAAAGTTCTGAAGTGCCCTAAGAACAGAGAAAACAGGGAGGGACGTGACAGCAGATAGTGTTACTCCTGGGACCAGAACTGTAATTCTGACTGCAACAGACCCAAGACAGCTGCACAGTGGGAGAGGGAGCACTACACTTGGGCAGCTGGTACATTTCAGGAAAAACCCTTAGTTTCAGCAGACTGACAGTTGCTTCCCTTTTAAAGGCAAGTTGCTTGCCTCATGCTGTTCACTGCCCCTTCAGCTGTCTTTGTATTCAACCCTGGAACTCCAGACAGCTAAAAACACAGACATTACCTTGGAGTAAACAACACAGAATTTCTGATAATGAAAACTCTCAGACAGATCCATCCATAAAGCTTTGTGCATGGTGTAGGAGACTCATGCAGTCAGCTCCCTCCTTGCACGCTGGCTTTGGAGCAATCTTAAAAGCTAAGTCCACAGCATTCCATAGGCCACTCTCTCAGTATAAGGAGCCAGTTCCTGAGCAGTGAGAAGTAAGTTATTCCTGATGGTAGGAAACATCTGTCCAAACCCGCTTTGCTCCAGAGGGGAACATCAGACAGATGTGGAAGTTGGAATGTTTCAGTGCATGCCTGAGTGAATGACTGCTGTAAGGAGAAAGGTGCTTCTCACCCCAATCTACTAGGAGAACCGGGCAGGATGAAAAGACTTGAAGTGTGTTATTAACAGAAACCTGGAAAGTCAGAGATAAGGCAGTGGTGTCAATGTTCATCTTTCCAAAGGGAACTGGTAATTACAGGGTGACTCTCTCCAGAGCCATGGAAAAAGGTCATCTAAGGAGTTCCTAGTGATCAAAAGAATAACTGGATGCTGGATCAACCCATAAGGTAGAGGCAATGCATACCTGGACATTTTCACAGGAGAAAAGGAGTTAGAGAAGAAAATGGGATTTCTCTCCATACCCAGGATAGACATCTGAGGGAAGGCACAAGTCAGTATGAGAGAGCCCTGCTACCTGTGTGTATGGTCACCAGAAGGCGTGGCTCAGAGGAACGTGTGGCTTAGCAAAGCACAAGAGCCGTAGAAAGGATGGGATTAGAATCAAAACCTAAAAATCCTGTTAACTGCTGCAATTGTTGTCATGTTGGCTGACATCAGGAGAATGTATGTCTCAAAAGTAATTCCCAAAGAGTATGCTCTTCATATGAGGACAGAAAAACACAAAGAGGTTGGTTTGACAACTTGAGAAAATAAGAATAGGGAGACAACGATAAACACCCACAGTCTCTGAGGAGCACCTGTGACACAGTGGGACTTTTACCAAGGAAACTCACACAAGTGCTGAAAATCAGATGAAGTGACTGCCAGTTAAAAGCTCATTGGCACCAAGCAGATGGATGCATCAGGTGAAAGGTTGCCACTGGATATGAACTTGACACTAGAACTGGGGCCAGGGATGGAGAAACATCTGAAACCAGATGAGTCCATTGCACCACTCAGAGATGGAAGATTTACATGGTTTGGAAATCGACACCATTATCCAAAGGTCCAGGGATTACATTACACCAAGGATCCAAAGAAAGTCTCTGAATGACTGCAAGACTTTTTCCAGTAAAGCTTACAGCTGGCAACACACAAGTTGGCAACAGGAATGGGCTGAAGTGTGCCCACTAGCCACATTTCATTTAGTCCCCAATCATTCACGTGCCTGATAACCTTCCTTTGTTACTGTGGAGTGGGTAGAAGCAGATGGTCACATCAACTTAAGACATGAGAAAACAGGGCTGAAAGCAACCTGAGGATGCACTGAATTTAACCTGACATGCTCACATCACCTGGTCTTCACAATCTGCAGTACTGACAGTCCTACTGCCTCACCAGACAAGTGCTATCAGAAAGACTACTATTTACTTAAGTTTCTTTTACCATAAGGTCAAATCATAATTTCTAGTCCTATTGTGAGTGGACAGAAAAGTTTATTTATTTCTCTGCAGCAATTTCTTACTACTAGAAAAATGAATCTTCTCTTCTCCCAGTCTTCTCTTTTTAGACAAAACCACCACTTTTCAGTCTTCTCTCATTAATTGTGGTTTTAGACCTTCAATCATGTATTCTCCTTTAGAGATTCTACAGTTGTCCCCATGCTTTTTTGAAGTACAGTATTAAAAACTGGATGCAGTCCAGCAAAGCGTTACTAATGCCATGTAAAGCCAAGGGATTATTTTTAGTTTTACAGAACAGTCATGTTAATGTGGTGCTTATTGTTTTCAACACTGTAACATTACTACTTCCTGATATTCTTATTTAAATATTTCTCCTCTTAGGCTTACACAGGTAACTGTTCCTACCTTCGTATTTTAAACTTCAAATAATTTACTGGGAAAATGGCCTAAAAAGCATGTAAATTAAGATTATCTGAATTTTAACCTTCAACATGTTTGTAACCCCTTTGACATGACAATCTCCTAAGCTCCTTTTCTGCTTTAATATTGAACACTTTTTAGCCTGCTACCCCTCCTCTTACTTATAGCTATAGGTACTTATATAGTACCTACAGGTAATTATTAGTTACTTCTTATATAAGTACTTTGTTATTTACTTATTTAGGTACCTATATAGTACCTCTAGGTAATAATCTCTACAAGCTTCTCAAACCAGGTGATTTAAGAATACAGGCAGACCTAGAGACACAGAGAAGGCAATCATTGAGAAGCAAGGGCTTCCCTATTTGCCAGGGAAGAGAAAAAACACTTTGACATGATTACCCATCAGAAATTACTGGAATTAGTGAAGCACTCCCAAAGTGGACAGCCAAACACTTTCACAGATGGAAGCTGGATCAGTACTTAGCATGAACTCCCTGTTTTTGTAACAGATTGCATTATACCATACACATTACTTCTAAGGGTGCCTACTGATGTCAATGGAAACAGATGCCTTGTCCTTGCAAATTACTTCAAAAAGTAAATTCCCTGTCACTGCTCTCTAGTCCCCTCCCTTTCTCAGCAAGTGTCCCAGTTTTGCAGGAAAGTCCTTTCCTTTTCTTAAAGAGCAAAACACCTTTTCACACTCTCATCACTGTCTCTCGAGCACTCACTCCAGACTTTCATCTTCTTCATTTCACTAAATCCCACTCTATTCCTTGGCTACCTTGCAAACCCCTGGATGTGACTTGTGGGATTGCAGTGTACTAACCTCCCCCTCAGTGTGGAAGCAGGGGCCGTGCAGCCTGTGATGACATACATGGTAACTGCTGTAACAGCAGCAGGGAAGGTTTTCCTAGGGCAGGTGATAGACTAAGTGCTTGTTTACCCAAGTCACAGGACTCAACCTCGCCTTCCCACTGGACAACCTTCTCTCTAACAACTTCACAGTATTCCCAGAGACAAGTAAAGCTTTCTGAAAGCAGAGAGTTCCTGCATTATCCACATGAGAACTGGCCAGTTTCTGAAAAACCATCTATTTTTAAACTAACCTTTTAACTCAGAAGCATAAAGAAACTAAACTGCTATGCTCTTGTGATACACGTTTTATCCACTTGGCAAAACCCCTCTTCACTCTCTACTTTACATCTCTTCAGTTGCAGCAGCAAGACAGTTATGGACCTTGTACCTGGAACATCACAGTGGACAATGTCCTCATGATGCAGAAATAGCATTAATTAATTTTTAATTATTTGAGAAGCTACTTGTAGAAGAAAATGATCAATTATCAATTTTAAGAGGAAGAGACTGCTGAGAGTGAGGGGACAAGTGCTCTTCCTGTAGAAAGAATACACCATCCCCACGTGATAAGGTAAAGAGAAGGAGAAGAGGAAGCATCTCCCTTGCCATGCCAGAGGAACGTTACCGACTTGGCAAAGAAAGGGGAGGTACTGTTTTCAAAATGGTAAAAAAAGGAGCAAAGCACATGTTAAAACCAACTACTTCATCTCCCTTCAGGTTTATTGCTTCTTAGTGGCCAGTGAAGAACAGAGAGGAGAGTGCTGCTATAAATCATAGGTTACATAATGTGAGAAAACACACGAAGATAATTGCTGGGTATAAAGACTGAAGAAGAGACATTACTTCAGGCCAGCACTAGTTTAGTTGAATTGTATCTTGCAGAAAATCCATTCCAGGGTCTATTTTTCATTCACCTGTACTCGGATCAATTTAGATCTATGTTTAATAAATTCTTCATGTAATGTTGTAACTTCTTTAAGCAATTAATTATCAGTAGCCTAATGCTGTTGCCTCTGCATAATTCTTGATGATTTCCATGCCTTTGGGACATGTATATTCAAGAGTTAACTAATCAGAGCCACTTTCGGCCTCAACTGCCAAGATCATTTTCATACAGAATGGTGGGTTGAAAAATTGCATCCGCTTCAGGGACGACTGTCCTATGTAAACACTGACTGGGTTGTGAAACAACAGAAGTCATTCAGCTGTGTATATTTGAAACACCACTCTTTTCTTTAACAAGATGATTGCCTGGCCAGTAGTCCTCATTCACTGGGAGAAGTCTTGTTTTACTGCTGAGGTGATTCATTCCATAGTCTTGCTAAAATCTAGGGTCCTCTAGGTTTCTAACCTGAGAACTTCTAATCGTGGATTTTAAAGAAATTGTATTTAATAACCACTAGTAAACTCAAGTACTAGATACTGTTCTTAGGCAGGAAGATATGTATAAGCAGGCTACATATTAAAATTATGTAATTACACTTCTAACTTTTCCCGACTTAAGAGATTAACATCTTACATGGGAGAGGACAAGATTTTTTTGTGCTTATTTTCTCAGGTTTAAAACCAAAGCAAAAATCAAAGCCTCACACAATCCTCTGTCACATCAGGTCACTCTGACATAACACGTTCCAACAAAGCTGGAGCCTTCAGACACATTTTTTCAATGTTTCCTTTAGAGCAAACTGCATAATTGGTAACAGCAACAGCCTGAACTTCCAGATAGACACATCTGTACAAGGGGAGAGAAATACACACCCTGACAATGACTTGTAAAACTGTTTTCTCAAGCAGGAAACAGCAAGACTTGGGATTCTGAGCTTGATTTTAAATGCATTAGAAGCATGCTTCCAGTAATTGCAGGTATCTTTCCATGTACTGTCTATTCTTCCAGCTCCAGCTTCTTCTGCACTTCTAGTTATCTCCCACTCACAACTTCTCAGCCTATCCTGCACTACTGTACATTTATAAATATGCCATATACCCCTTTTATTTCCCCCCTCCACTCCAAGACAGACAGGGAAAACTTTTTATTATATTTTTAATAGATGTTCCTAAGCAATCTATTATAGTGCCTGTCTAAGCCAACAAAGCAATGGGTCAAAGTCAGCTCTGGATTACCTCCCACAAATGCACTGGAATAACGCTTAGGATGAATTTGGCTTTAAGACTTGTTAGAGAAGCAGTTGACTACATTCACAAGTCATTTACCAATCAAAATTTGAATGTTCTCTAGTGAAATGGGGAGTACAATGGCACAAGTAAACATTTGAGCATGAAACAGATTGAAAAAGCAGCTGCCAAGAGCAATAAACTAGTAAAGTGTAGATGCCTCTGACTAAGGCCAGACAGACATTTATTGGAAGCCAAGATTAGTAAGCCTTACCACTTATAGTTACGTGATCATCTTTGGAGGCTCTCTGTGTTTCTTTTAACTGGATCTCTGAGTTCACATCCACTTTTCTTCCAGATAACTCTAAATAGGCTTTGAGAGAGGCAGGTACCTTGACTGTAATTGAACCTGGTATAAATTTAAGTGAAAGCTAGTTAGTTTAACACTGAGATCAAAGCATGAAACAAGCAATTATTTCACTAACTTGAATCAAATCATCCTTTGGTTGTGTTTGATTTTTTGTTTGTGGTTTGTTGTTTTGTTTTTTGGTTTTTGTTTTTTTGTTTTTTTTTTTCATTTACCATAAACAGAGCGCTGTATGTCACATATAGAAAATGGTGTCACAGTATTTCACAGTATTTCTTTCACAGACATGAAAATAAACACTAACATACACATCTCTTGGTGGGGGATCTTATTACAGGAATGATCAAGGGAAGCAAATCTACTATATCTCACAGGTATTATGACTTCAGTTTCATCTTCTAGTTGCATATTTACACCCTGAGCAAGGACAGGGGACCAGACTGGACAAATAATCCAGCCACTGCGTGGCACATGATGAAAGAATTGCTCATTTGGAACAACGAGACACCACTCGCTCACGTACTGTGAACACTAGTGATTGTTTCTGACCACTGCTCAGGGCCAGCTGTTCACATCCTCCAACAGATGCAGTCTCAAAAGTGACTTAACCAGTTTAGAGACTATGTATCACTAAAATGTAAACTCCTAGCAAAATTGCAGCTTTGGTGGCCTGAATAATTCTACCTTTGAGATTAAAACCAGAAATTTTGACTTCTGCTTCCCCTAACTATGTGGTTCTATGCATCAGACCAAAGGCAGATGGTGGGCTCCCAACCTGCCCAAATTAGTCATATTTGGAATTACTCAGTCACAAAGTTTGTAAGTTGTGTCCCACACATTAAATCAAAATCCAGCAAAATTCAGTATACACTTTATTTATATGTGTTCCTTAGTTTTTCCCAATTCCAACATTCACTTTAGAGAAACATAAAAGCGTTTCTTGATGTCCATCCCAAAAGCCGAAGTAGATCATGGCAATGAAAGTGATGTTATAACAGCTACATAGCATCAGAAAGTAACTCTTGCTATGCAATTTAGAATCAGCAGAATGACTTGCCTGTGATAGTCCTAATGAACAAATAACTGTCCATATAATTTGGGTCTACATTTTGCTGGAAACACAAAAGCCTCAGGATAAGAAAGGGAAAAGGTCTTCATCTTTGGGTCCTCCTTGGAGACTTGCTCAGTGATGTGACTCATAAAATCCAACACACATGCAGCTAATTTATCACAAATGGGACATTTTCTACACTGCAGCTGTCAGCAGTTACTCTGAATTCAGAGGGTAAATGAAAACAGAACTTCAACTTTGCCTTTACTAAACTGTGCTGCCAGAAGAGATCTCAATGTTTTGAAAATAACATTAATTAGCTTTTATTAAATACATTCCTCTTTGCCAAGAGACATTAACTTAGCAATGAGTGATTCAAAAGGTAACCAAGAAATAATGTAAAAATAAATTTCTTTGCACTAATGAAACCAAAATAGATTGTACAGGACACGCAAGGGATTTCAATGCATTGCTATCATCACTGCCATTTTGAGTAAATGTTAGGTTTTAATAGGGCACAGGCACTGTCTCACAGAAGACAGAAATGTACCAAATACCCTGTTCATTTAACTCACCTGAAGTCCCTGACATGATGATAACACCAAACATAAAAATGCTGTGGGAGTGGGGTTTTTTTGGTTTGTTTGTTTCAAAACCAGGACTAATAAGATGTATTCAGGGCTTTGTAATTTACAGTATTGTATCTTTTGAATGGCAAAACTATTAATTCAACTTTCGTTGTGAGCTTTTAACTACAAAGCGAAGTTTTAGTGAGTAAACAGGAGAAGACAAAGGAAAAATGGTAAAGGTGCTCTCATCTTTGTTTTTCTGCCTTCAAATTTTCATAGTGGGACATTTCACTCAGAAGGCAGGAAAAATAAATGTGTGTGTGTCAATTATCACTCTGCACATGAAGAAGTATCATGGAGTAAACTGTATTCAAGGTAACAAGCACTGTAATTCAAGTCAACTCTGCAGAATTCTGCTGGGTATATTGCTGGGGAAAAATATTGAAAAACACAAAAATTTTTAAATCCATCTTATGTATCATTGCCTCTTACAGAGGCTACTGTATTTTAAGTATTTATATAGGTATTTATATAATTTAAGTAGTTATAGCTTACTGTATTTAAAGTATTTATGAGGTAAAAGATAATGTAGATAACGAAAAACCACAAACTATTTTTTTACAGACAGATTAAAAAAAAAACCCAAACCTTATCCCCTTTTATTTTACATCAAAAGCTGCCACAAAAAATATTTGGTTTAGTTTGCTAACCTTTCTGGGATTTCAGATCCACTTTTCTTAATTGACTGACATAAACATCTATTGTCCCGTGATATGTAGAAGCTTTTAGACTTCCATCTGAAGAATCTAAAAAAAAAAAAAAAAAAAAAAAAAGAACTTGTGTATTATTCACTCTTTTTAAATAAATATTTGCCATAATCTTTCTTTATATTTTCTTTGAACTAATTTTTGTCAATCCTTCTGTGTTTGAGAAGTATCATATTAATTTACCAAATGTCAGACTTTGCTTAGAAAAACAGGTTTCTGAAAAAACTTATCTCCCCAGTCCAGAATTGGGGCACACACTGGTCCAAAGGCCATAGTCCTGCAGTTGTTCTACATCTACAAGGCCTCAACTACACTGTGCATCATTCTACAAGGATGTTGTTTATCTTCATGTGAAGATCAAGCACAGTATTTGAGCACTAAGATCTATTCTAGTTTCCAAAAGAGTTCATTTGCTCAATGAAACTTTCCATTTTAAAAAGTAAAAATATTACTGAGAGAATGAACTTGATTAGTCAGAACAAGGATGTCTTGCATTAATGTCTTACCTTTGCCATATAGTTTTAGTTCTAAATAAACTGATCTGGAGCTTTTCTGATCCCAGATTTTGAGAACAGATGCCAAAGATCAGTGCATTGGTTACAAGAGCAAAAAAATGGAAAAGGATTATTATCCCACAGCTAAAGCTGATTTCTTTGGAGGGGAAAGTAATTTAAAAAAAAGCAGCTAATCCATATTTAGTCAGCTGAGAAACTAAGCCTGGCTTTGGCTAACAAGAAAACACTAACAACTAGAATGTGAATGCTTCTGCCATCTCAAGATTTTATGTTAAAGATCTGTTCCAAATCTGAAAAAAGAAATTTAACTCTTCATTTATAATGATCTGGAAAATAGTTTTGCTTGTGTAAGTGACAATGAAACATTTTATTGATGACTTTTTAAAATGCTGTTCATAATAATCAAAGTTTAAAAGTTAGAGTCATTAGAACAGGAAAATTGGACGTGTATCAACATTTTTATAAACATTTTAAGTAGTGATAGCTTGAGATTTTCATGAAAAAGCTGTTTTTGCAGATTCAAATTTAGTAACAACCAATTACTGACTCTCCACACGATCTTGATAGATTTTGTTGGCAACAGATACAGGAAATATCCAGCCTTTGACTCTTCTGCTTAAAACAGAACATGTAGTAAGTGCCTTTATCAGTTCTAGGAAGAAAGAAAATTCTCCTGTGATAAGACAGCGACCCTCTCCAGGGAGAACAACTGCAAACAGTCCATACACCACCACCAGCTGCTGATGCTTTACAGGGACAAGGTTTATTCAGTGAAGCCTTTCTCTTCCCACTCTTCAAATGCAAAAGCAGTTCTTGTGAGATTCTTCCCAGTGGAAAGATGCCTTTTGTGAATCTGGCAGCCCCACTACACAACTGAACAAAGTGTTCTAGATTTTCAATTAATATATATTACAAAAATGCAATACTCATTTTGTGAGGGATTGGATTTTGTTTTGAGAAGGCATAAACATGAAGAAAGGATGCAGGGAGAGGGCATCAGGCACAGGCTCACCAAGGCACAAAACTGCTTTTGTGCTTACCTGGAAAGCACAAAAAAACCTCAAGGGAAGTGGAACACCTTTCCATTGAAGAACACTGTTTTGGGAGGATGACTTGCCAGATTTTGACCCCCAGAGCACATCACTAATACAAAATTTCATATGGAAGAAGAAACTACAGCAGTTTCAAAACCACAAAGAACTTTGGCAGCACTAACCAAACACTAAACCTGACATTACAGTATTGTACAGTAAACAACTGTTCATCTTTGACCTATGGAAGTAACATGAAATATATTTCATGGAAACACCTTAATATGATTTATGTAATGAATTTTATGGCTATGATATTAAATACAAGTGCTCAGATACAAAGAAGAATACCAAGAGACTTGGAGCTGTTCATTACTTCTGCAAAGCCATAAAGCTGCTGTCTTAAGTTTGTCTCTAACTCCTAACAAATAAGGGGGGGAATGGATTAAAAAAAAAACAAAAAAACCCCAAACAAATAAAGATGAGGTGATATAACAAAAAAGGTGCCCAAATTTAAATAAATAAATATTTCAACAATGAAAAATTACTCCATATTAAGTAGCACAAGCTGGTAGGACAAAACACAACAAATAATAATAGAGACAATGCATATTTTATGGTTATGACAGAACAAACCTAAGGCAATTTATTTTTAAATATATACCCAGTTTTAGCTGAGATCAATGTGAATAATTAAAGGTAAAAAAAGGAAAAAGTGTATAGTTTGAATTCAGAGTTTGCCAAGGACTGACAGCTCAAGGGGAAAAACAAGGATAAATCCTTCTACTGGAAATGGAACAGATGGTCACTCTTGAGCAGCTTCAGCTATTTAATTTACTAGTACTAGAGAAAAAAAAGGGGGAAAAAAAGGGCAGTGTGAAGCAAGGTGTCCTTGACAAAGTCTTTGTTAAGTTTTATGAAAAATAAATACAGCTTGAAGAATAAGACCTAAGTCACATAACTTGAGAAAGACCATACAATTAAAGATCAGTGAAAGGCCTACAAAGGCAATTTTTAGTATCACTTCTTCTTTCATTTTATATGTCAAATACTGAAGAAGGGATTAAATAGTAGTGATCTTTCCTTAAATCTAAGCAAAAACATACTTTTCCTAATAGCACATAAGGACTGATCTTGCTCATGTTAAAATCAGTGACAAAATCAATCTCAACAGGAAAACACAAAATATTTATTATGTTTTGATTAAAGACTGGAGAAAGTATAAAATTCCAACATATATGAAGCATGATGATGATTTAATTCCTGCTTAACTGGCTATCTGGTATTGCTTATTGATAGAAGATTGGCAAGTTTTCTTCTTTAAGTTCATAGCTCTAAAACTTTCACATGAAAAATATTGTGAGAAACTGAAATGTATTCGCTAAATAGACTCTTTGAACATAATACTGAAAAATCTTTATCAGTCCTGACCATAGTCACCATGCAGGCCTGGCAAAACAAATGATGTGACACACAAAGCAAAGAAATCTCTCAATTCCTCTGCTAAGTTGTCCAGACTACCCTCTTACCTCTAAATGATGTTTTCTATCTCGATTTTAAAGTTATATCCATTGGTTTTAAAGGCCATAGTCTCTTTTGGATAACTTAATCTGTTAGAAAAAACCAAAACCACAACCAAACCATCTGGCTTGTCTAGTTCGACAAAAAGGAGGCTGAGGGGTGACCTATTGCTCTCTACAGCTTCCCAAGGAAGGGACATGGAGAAGGAGGTGCTGAGCTCTTCTCCCTGGTATCAAGTGAAAGGATGCATGGGAATGGTTCAAAGGTCTGCCAGGGGAGGTTCAGACTGGACATGACGAAGCATTTCTTTATGGAGAGAGTGGTCAAACACTGGAACAGGCTTCCTAGAGAGGTGGTTGATGCCCCAAATCCGCCAGCGTTTTAGAGGCATTTTGACAATGCCCTTAACAACACACTTTAGCTTTTGGTCAGGCAGCTGGACTGGATGATCCTCATAGGTCTCTTCCAACTGAAATAGTCTATTCTATTCCAAGAGAAAAGAAAACCCTACATATTCCTCCAAATACAATATAAACTCAAGAACTACTGTAACAACATCCAGAATCTTCAGCACAGTGATATGAGATGCTGTAAAACATACGTGATGTAACATCACCAAAACTGTTTATTGCTAAAAGAACACATACAGAAGTAAAATAGTTTATTCTTTTAAGCTGCAAGGAAAACACTGTTGTACTCAGACAGCAGCTACCTGCTCTACATGCTCCAATTTTTAGAAGCAGTTTCTCCAGGACATAAGCTCTGTCTAGAATGCCATATAATCTACATTCAAATGGACAAAGAGAGAGGGAAAGGGAACATGGAAAAAAAGACTGTTGATAAAATCAAGTAATAATTTGGTAGACATTAACTCATAATGGACTGTTTCTTTTTAAAACTTTCATTTTTCATAACCTGACACCTGAGGGATAAGAAAAACCACCTGACTTTTGGAGCTGACTCCAACCTACATGGAAGAAAGCATGGGAATGATGGGGGGAAAAATGACAGGTCTGTCATCAGCAAAATACAGAAGGAGGCCAACTTCTGAGACACAAAGTTGGAAAATGAAGGACACTTAAAATGACAGCCAGAGCATTAACATACTTAAAGCAGATGGCAAAAATGAGATCAACAGAACTAATTGCTATTAAGAGACAAGTGTGTGCATGGATTCATTTCTTTTAAACTACTTAAGAGCTGTACTTTATGAAGTACAGTAATTGCTTTTAATGGAATTCAGAACTGAGGGTTTTAATTTTAGAATTCCCTAGAGTACTTAGCAAAAAACTGAATCCTCAAGACAAATCTCACAGATGCAGTACTACTTCTAAATACACTAAGTTGTTTACTGTTTTATTTTCCAATTATCCAAAATGGTCTTCGATACTATAATTTTTTTTCCTTAATTGATTCCCTTCTTGAAATAAAACTTTGGCATTTTGTCTCAGTACTTCACCATGAGGGTGGTAAGATACTGGAACAGTTGGCAAGGGAAGTTGTGGATGCCTCGATGCTGTTCAAGGACAGGCTGGATTAGGCCTTGAGCAACCTGGGCCAGTGGGAGGTGTCCCTGCCCATGGCGGGGGGGTTGGGACAAGATGACTTTTAAGGTCCCTTCCAAGCCTTACCATTCTATGATTCTGTACTAGGGAATTGTCTTACGATGACTCTCATCACCGTGGAGGATCTCAGGACACCTCAGTTCACTTTCATGTCAGGACTTTACTCAAAGGTTTATCTTCGAGAACGTTCTTAATTGTTCTTAATTGTTGGGGTTTGGTTGATTTGAGACAGCGAACATCACAGCAAGACACTGAAGCCTTCGGGTTGTCTAGACTGGGTTACCGAAGAAAGAAATTAGCAGAGTAAGGCCAATTGACATTGATGTATTTGTAAAAAAAGTAATTAGAATTTCTGTGAGCTTAATATAGAGTTTTCCTTTCCATAGTAATCCTTGCTGCCCATAAGCTGGTTAAGGTTGTTTCCTCTCCTCTGAAATGAAACAACCACCATAAGTTTTATCATTTCTGACTACACCAAACACAGAAGACTAATTTCTTCAATGCATAATTGGGTTAAACACAAGTACTTCAGTAAGAAAAAGCAATGGGTCTTTTGAGCTGGAAGGGGAAAACTTAGCTTGGCAGCAGAGTACAGAATACACAATCAGACCATACCAATAACATTGAGAAATAAGCAAATTCTAGCAGGACTGAATGTGAGCCAGTGGTGTGCCCTGGCAGAAAATAAGTGCAACTTGGCAGTATTATCTGGAGCATGGCCAGTGTATAAAGGGAAGGGATTATTTCTCTCTACTCTACACTTATTAAACCACTCTCAGAATACAGCAACCAGTGTTGGAGCTCCCAAGAGAAGGGAGACATCAGTAACTGGACTGAGAAACACGAACATAGCCAGGGCATGGAACACCTTCCCCATGAGCAGGGGGGCAGGACAAAATGACCTCCACAAGTGTCTTCCAACCTCAATCACTTTACAATTCTGCAACTTTCTGATGTCTCTTCCAACTTCAGTATTCCTATGAATTTACTGAATAAAAATTTAAAAGATTACGCAAGTTCTAAAAAGAAAGTACTACAAGTCCATTACTCCCTAAGATAATTCAGGTTTCTAACTACTATTTTAAGTAGTAACAAACTAGAAGTAAAAACAGGTCTGGTTGTTTTAAATTAACAAGTAATTCGAAACCCGTCAAACAACTGTTAGAAGTAGGTTTCCACTATAGAGTTGGAAAATAGTTTGTCAGTGACCAACAATGCTCACAGTATAGAAAAAAACCCGAATAATCCCTATTTTCATAATTTAATGATGCCAGTGTGAAATACTGCCACATGCTCGATGATTAAAATTGGACTGAATTTTAGATAATATTAAAAAAATAGATTTACACAAAGAAGTCATATCAAAATAAATTTCCAAATCAAACTACTTTATAAATAGATAAAAGCAAAAATTTAAAGAGATTGAAAGACAACAGCATTGGTTTTCTGTTTTAATGCGGAATTATACAACAATAAGAAACTGTAAATAGTCACTTGTAATTTCCCAAAAATATTTTGAAAAGAAGTCCAGCATTCTCAACTCAACTCGTAAATAAATCTCTCAAAAACATGGACACACTCAAAAAACCTAGAGATTAGTGCATTTTTTCAGATAACTGATAAAATCCTGCCTCTGGTGAAATACATAACTACAACCTAATCCAACCCTAACCCAACCAAGGAAGCTGGAAGATCTGAGTTGTTCTTCCTGTTTCTATCACCAAATCCCTGTCAGGTCTCTGGCAATTCAACAAGCTATCTTGGGTGTAAAGGCCTCATGCAAAAAAAACTTTCACTTAAAACTTTACATTTTCTTTCTCACATTTTTAGAGTTGAATCCTCTGGATCTTAAAAGTCTTTTACCTTTGAAAAAATCCATAAAAATACTAAAGGATGTTTAATGCTTTAGGAAAAAGATTAAGTCTAACTAATGCTTTCAGAACTGCAATCTGAAAAATAAGGTTTCTTCCAACTGTCAGATGTGTCTTAATGTTTCAGCTGAACCTGGTTAGTTAAGGAAAATATCATCATCTGTTTTGATGGAAAAAGCTACCTCCTGTGTTAAGAAGCGTTTATTTAACCACACTTCATACTCTGTGAGTTTATTTAAGAGAAGGAAAAACAGACTATCAAGCTCGAGTTAATTCTGTGGTTTAACGACTAACTCATAAGAATGTGTATGGTATTCATTCTCCAAGAATGTTAATACAGGTTGCTTAGAAACATAAGAAGAGTTGTAATGGTACAGATTGTCCCTGAACAATGCTTAGTGAGGGACTACAGGTAACACCATCACCAGAAGTCTTTGAGATTTGGGCCAATAACAAAGTTCACTGACAGAAGGGGAAATCTTTCTACAGACATTCGAAGGACATTGAGCCTTGTCTACAATTACTTTACTTCAATTTTCTGCCATAGCAATAACCAGAATTTCAGTTTCTCATTTTGTGTTTATGTGCTATAAAATGCACTGATATAATGTATTCCATAATTGATAACTCTGAGTTATTCTGTCGTATAAATGCCCAAATTTACAAAAGAAAGTTTATGAGCAGTTTTCACTTCTGAAGGGAAAACAATTAGCATAATAGTTTGGAAGTGTTGAAAGCATCACAAGCCTTCCCCCCCAGCCCCTGAATATGTAATACATCAATGACTATTACTTCCTGATATAAAAATTAAACAGCTAATCATTGATATCAATAAGTATAAGATAGAGAACTAAGTTAAAGGCACACTGCATTTGATGTACACTTAGTCTTTTTATCCCACCTTAATCTAAAAGGTGACACTTAGACTCAGTTTAACTTGTGCAAAGCCCAGAGAGTATTAGGTGTCAAAAGTGAGACAGTGTGCCTTGCCCAACTACAAAAGACTGACAGCAAAGTTTGGAAAGGATCTCATTCAGCTACACAGCTATCAGGACTACTCCTGAAAAGAAAAGAGGGCAAAAACATTTGTGCCAAATCACCTCTTTTTTACTTTCCCTGTGAATATTTAGGTTTTAGAAAGGAGGAGGGAGGAGCAAGAGATAGAGAGATGGTGGAACATACCTACTGTGATACTCCCTGTTTTGGTCTGAAGGGTGGTGTTACCTATTATGAAAAGAAAAGGGGAAAAATGTTAAAACTATACTATTTAAACATATTCATAATTTAATTATTTTCTATATTATTGCTTTACAAACAAAAATCTCATTATATGTGGGTAACAAAGAAGTGATTCCAGCCAAGAAAAACACTGAGTAAAGCTAGGCACAGCCTGGATGTGAGGGAGGAAAAAGCAGAGAGGCATTGCAAGGCTAATGAACAGTATTTCCTTACTTTATTTGGGGTGATTTTTTTTTCCAGTTGCTCTGATGCCTGCAACAGCACTATGCATCATTTAAGTAATTCAATAGGATGAGTAATATAAACAGTTTCTATTTTCCTCTTTTATAAAGGTATACCCCATCCATCTCCCCCAGAGGGAATTTTGTGCTTTATCTTCAAAGTCTACTTCCTGGACCCACTGAACATTACCTATTCCCTCCAAACTTATTCTTATGTGCATGACAACCCGTGATCGATGCTTTCCATTGACTTCAGTGAGGTCTGAGTACATTGGACAAACTGGAGAACATCAAACAAAAGTGTGTAAAGGCACAAAATGCAGAAGGGTCTCCTACTGAACTTGCATACCTTTGAACAGGTATTGGTGTTCCAGCCTTAATTTCAAAATACATATTCTTCCTCCTTACCTGTATCATCAAGAGAAGCCAGAAGGAAGACAGATACACCTTGTAACATGAAAGCCATCTATACTACTAACAGTCTAACTAAATTGTAGATGATTCCACAGTTCCATGTATAAATATCTCTCAGAAAATGCTTTAATTTAAAAACTAAACCACAGCATGTCATTCCTGCCGTTCTCTCATTCTCCCAAGAGGATGACAGAATGAAGCATAAGGTTGATCACAGTAATCGAGTCTGATTTAGTAATATACAGTATTCACAGTTTTCAGATTTTTCCAAATTGCATGTGGATCAAGCTCTGCCCTATTTTCTGTAATTACACAGTAGTAATCAACCATTAGGGCCGAGTGCATTCCACTGTATATGACCTGTATTTTTCTTAGTGGTTCGTGGGCCGAAAGCTAGAAAAGCAGCCTATCATCAACAGTCTTATATTTATCTTTTCAAACACACACTGTACAAAATACTTACAGGTTCTGAAAATCAGAGCAGAAACAAAAGCATTTTTCAATGAACCTGAAATGTGTTTGGCTTTACTCTTTGATGTTTTTGAAAAGGCATGCTATAATTATCCCACCCTTTTCCCCATTTTATCATGTCTAGTACTTAGTACAACCTACAAAAAGACCTAGGGTTTTGTCAGCCAGCAACTCTCCTGGAGGTGAAGGCAGATTATTGTCAGAACAGTATTATTACTGTTCTTTGTTTTTCTGAGTGTTTTGTTTTCTGTTTTGACAAGCAGGTCCTTGAAAAACATTAAACATGTAGAAATCAAACTCCTATTAACCACGGACTTATATGGCAGATACAACTAATGTTTGGCAATGTCAACATATTAGTGTGAAAAGCTCACTTCAAACATTTAGCTAGAACAAAAGCTGATTTTAAAGCAGACAGAAACGTCCTGCTGTGTTGTGACCTGCACTGACTACAGACAGTGCCCTAAAGTGCACTTTTGGTCATGTAATGGTTCTGTGAAGGCCAACACTGAACTTCATATTTCTTGGGCACATCAAGGGCAGAGAGAAAGACCCGAGTAGAGGTAATTACTAGTTTGATTATTACAACCAACTGACTTCAGCATTGTGGTGCAATACTATGACGTCCAACATATAATAGTTTTTGCAGAATATTGAAGACTGTGGTTTAGTGTTTTGGTTTTTTGGTGCTTCTGAAGAAATAGTTACATTTTCTATCATCTACAAGCCTTGCTTCTCCATGAACACTGTAAAACTTCAAACTACAGTATTGTCATAATGGAAATTTTGATTAAAAAAAGGGTTTTTTCCATATCAGAAGAATAATTCAGGACCGGAACATGATGCCCAGAAAGGTCATGCAAACTCTGGCCTTGAAAATACTCAAAGTTCAATCAGACAAGGCCATGAGCAAGTTTGCTCTAATTGAGCACACTTCAAGCATTCATTTGGGCTAGATATCAAATTCCTTCAACTTAAACTATTTAATATCATCATCATTTAATATCATCTACTCTGGTCTCCAAACGGGAGGTCTGGAGACACACTATCTATAGTGCTGCTGCTTCTTATCAGAAAGCAGGTAGGATCACTCTTGCGGAGAAAAGACAACACAGAAAGAATCGTGTCTTGTCGACACCACCTAAGGAGTCTTTCTGCTGTGCCTTCCACAACCAGATGTGTCTATCTTGCATTGGCCTCTTTAGCCACCAACGCGCTTGTAGCGAGTGTGGGCCAAGCCCTTCCCAAATGTTCATTCGCGAAGCCTGGCCATGATGAAACTATTTAATGTATAAAATAGTTAATGCAACTCAATCCAAGAGTTGGCTGCAAAGAGGGGTTTCCTTTTCCTCCTATGTGCCCCTTTGTAGAGAAGTTTCACTGCAGTGTTACTGTCTCTTCGTTAAAAGTAGATAATTTCTCAGAATCAGATTTCTTTTTCAAGCATCAAATCAAAAGCTCAATAGCACCTGACATCTCTCATGTTATAGAAGCTGACGAAAATTACTCAAAATCAATTTCTTCAAAACAATGCATTACTCATTTTCATAAAAGTATGAAGCATGCAAATGAGCAATTAAGAAAGCCTGAGCACTGACAGTGTTGCAATTGTACAGCCTGAGTTTCAACCACAAACTGTCTCAGACAGGTTTGTAAAGTTCGTGTTGCCCTAACTTCAATTTTCTCAGAGCAAAGGCAATGAAATCTAACTTAGTTTTGTGCACAGATGTGCTGATTTGATGCCAACTATCAGCATATTGTCAGCTAAAGGCAAATTGTGGGTTTAGCTGCTCAAGAAATAATCTGTTTTACAAACAAAACAACTACTAAAACTGAGCTACCTGATGAGCAAAAACTATAAGTGAAAGTGATAATTTTTTTTCTACCAGAAATTTTTAATAGGAGTTTGTCTTGTCTACTAATTAGTATGTGTTTGTGTGTGTACTTTAAAAGCATTTGCTCATACTATTAAAACATGATTGAGGAGCATGATGTTTTGCAGAAAGTGTTTTTCTGAGAAAACTGGCTAGAATTACCAAGCAAATGTTAATGTGCAATTGTTTTTAAAAGAAACAGCTAAAGTAACATTAGGTGTTCCAGACCCATTTAGTAGAGAGCTCACAAAACCAACCCTGAACTAACATAAGAAATGCCTGTATAATTTGGATACAATTCTATTTGGTTTCACATGGTTCTTCAGCTAAATGACAATGAAGCATTACTATGAAAGCAAGTCACTAGCTACAGCAGTTATGATTTCATTTTTGTACCAAGAAAATAAAAATGAACTTTTGGAGGTTCACAGAGAGATGAACATGCTCACAAACTGATCACAGTGTAACACTACAGTCTACAAGTTAGAAAAATACAACAACAACATGAAAAAAAGCCATTTATTTCTGCCTATGCATACCAAAACAAACTTTACCTAACTGGTTTAGAAACCATTCTTACATTTATTATAAATGGACAGAGGAGTTGCTCCTTTAAGGAAGAGACAAAATGAATTTCTCAAGTGAGATGACAACATAAAATTGCTAAGAAATTGAAGCAAATTGTTTTGAGGTCTATAGCTGAAAATCTGGAACTCAGACTGAGCTGAGTAATTTTCACTCTTTGTACATTCTCCTGTTTGTTTAACTCAATGTTAAATCACCACAAGCACATTACAGCACAGTCAGAATTCAGTGGAAGTTTTGTTCAGTTAGAAAACCACAAGACATTTGAACCACAACTGCTGTTTAAATAAAAGACTGTAGTTAGTTTCAGATCATTAGTTTCAGACATTAAAGGGTGGATGGATTAAAGACTTCTTCCCCAATCAAAGAACAGGAACTGTCATCATTCCATTAATAATATTAAGTGCCAGCACACACAGAGGTTATTTCTCCTAAAAACTTCTAATTACTATCACCTTTTATGATAGTTTTTAGTAGATGCTCTACAATTGGATTCTTCTATGAAGAAAATAAAGGATGGGGAGAGGGAAGAGAAGCCTCTTTACAACTTTTAGTATAATTTTCACTGCTGAATTTTAAAATATTTTGATGTTCTTAATACATGTGATGTTTCTTTCCCACAATACACACTTTTTACTGTTCACAAGTGTGCTCATAAAATTGTTTTTAAAAATAAACACAGTCTGCTAGGTGGCAAAAAAAATCAATTCAGTCTTTAATAAAGATAGAATTGTTTTGTTCATATGCTTTATGATTTAGTGATAGTCTATTGCATTAGTCCATTTGTTACTGTGAACATCATTAACACCTACAAAGTAGCTAAATTTGTGACAGATTTTCCTTCTTACCATGAATACTTCCCAGCATAATATCACCAGCTACTGAAGAGAGAGATGCCGATTCTGCATAGAGATACTTAGTTTTCAGCAGCCCATCTTCAGTAGATATGTTGATGGTTGTCCCTTGCAGCTTCTCTATATTCACACTCTAAGAGAAATAAACTTAAATAAACATAATGGAAAACTTGTCATCACAGCTTGAAAAGGCAGAGGGAAGTAACACTATATAAGACACAAAACAAATTGAAGGCAGTTGTTGGCACAGAACAAATAGAATCAAGTTTTCAGTTAAAAGCTACAGTAGACAAAACAGAAAACCTTTTCATCCAAGAGCTCTGACCAAATAACAAATGATTCTTTATGACGTTCCTGTGAGTTATCACATCTATCACACACGTGAAGAACCCAAATAGTCATAAACAGATAAAAAAACCCCCTTGCTTTAATTTTTAAAAATGAAAACACTTATTTGAAAAGTAAGAAAAAGATAACTTCAATAATGAAGACTGAACATTCATACAGCATTATGATACTTGGGGCATTGGTGATGAGTTTTCTGTCACCACAAACTGAAGCATCCACTGTCTTTGTTACATACAGCTATTTATGAAGATTTTTAACTGGCTAACTTTGTAGATGTGGCTTTGGTGAAGGTTTGCAAAAGAGCCACAGCTGCTCCTTTTCTCAGCATGATTGTTCATATTACCTTGGTTACTCAGGCTTCTTTCCTGGACTTAAGCCTCAAGACATACAAAGCCTTGAAAAACTAGGGATAAGAGCTCCATTTCTATTTCTTTTCAGTAGAAATGGAGAGAAAGGATGGAATTTCAAAAGTTGCACTATAGAGTTGGGAAATAAAAGGTGACAGATGAGATTATCTATGTAAAAATAGCGGTAAGTCATGTGATATAACTTAAACCTATTTGAACAAAACCAGAACAATTTACATGCTTATGCAACAACCATATGAAATTTAAGTCTATTCTTTCTCAGTTAAATTTGATCTATGATGGAGACATACAATAGTTCATACTTTACCCCTATTCAATTTGGTTTTATGTTGCTTACGCAGACTTTCAGTGAAATGCACAAAATCCTTATTCATTACATGAAATGATACACAGCCTTCTAGATTAAACTGTGGCTTACTCAAATTATCTTTGAATCCTCCTTGTCATTTTAGCATTGCCACCCTGTGGAAAAAAAGTTAATATAAAGTAATAAGTCTGCTGTCACTTCCAGTGTTAGATTATATAAATTATAAGGTATGGATGAAGCAAGAGGTATTCTGACAAACAGTCACTAGTGTTGCACAAACCCAATGCTATATTGTGTCCCAAAAAGTGAGCTGAAGAGGATGGTGCAGTATGGACTCTATGACAGCCAAATTATACTGTGGCCTTACCAATCCATACATACTGAGCTTTATGCTGTCTTTACACCTTAAACCATAAGATTACAGAATGGACTATTGTCTTAAGACTTGTACCATGATGCTACAATACAAATTAGGTCTTCAAGAATGTATCAAGATATACCAACCTTTAAGAAAATCAAAATGCTGTGCTAGAATTAGAGATACTTGACAGTCAATATCTACAATCTCTGCAGGCATTGCTTAGATTCTGTAGCATAGTTCTAAGCAGTATCAACAGTAAACAAAAAATAATGATATTAAGGCATAATTTGTCAATACTGAAAGGGAGAGCAATTCAGCCTTTCATCTTGCAATGCTTCTAACAAAACCCTAATAAGCAGAGACCTTAAACATGTCCTCAGTATTTTTCCCCCAGACTACTCCACTACTCCCTCACCCTGGATAGTAAAGTGCAAACCTGCTGTGACACGTGGACACAGCAACAAGTAAAAGAAAAGCCACTGTCATTTTAGTCTCTATGATCTAAACTGGCTCTAAAGAGACTTAAATGACTTGCAAAGAACATTTCCAATTTTAGCAGGGCCACAACATCTGCATAGTTTGGGTACAAACTGTCTGCCCTGTGGCATTCCCAAACAGGCAAAGGAAACTTCAAAAAGCTACATCTCTTACTATAGAATGCAAGTTTTGATTCTATTAAGATAAATCATCTTATTTAAAAATTAAGTGCTTTATTATAAACAATCTCACATACCAACACATCTTATTTACCAGTCTTAACTACCTTTCTTAAAAATGTACAGTAATAAAAAGAGTTGTTTTGACTCCAGATAAAAAGTTACAATAAACAATAAAACAAAAATGACTAATACTATGAGCATTTGTTTCAGAATAACACAAAGCTGAAGGGAGGTGAGGGAAGAGGTAAGTCAGACTGATCAAGTATAAGACTAAAAAAGCACTTTTTGATAGGGAAAGTGTGGAAAAAAAATAGGATTGCTTTTTACTGAGAATAAATATATTTTCAGTCTCAAATTCTTTAACTTTTGTGGATTTTTAGCAGAACACAGATGTCTGGCACTGCTAAATAAGTGTTATAGAAAAGCCCCGTGGCACGGATTAGCTAATGACTCCCCAGTCAAACAAATTTGATTATTTTTGTCCACTGAACTACCAGGTTTTCTGGAGAAATTCCTTCTCTTCAGAGTAGAGCCTTGAGGGTTGCAGTTACCGAGACTGACCATATGCTCAGGTTAACATTTCTCCCCTTATTATCACAGGATATTCTGAGTTGGAAGGGACCCACCTAGTTTCTTACCCTTTAAAGAAAAAGGGTCAGTCTATCTTTGTAAATCAGACTGAGAATGTTTTTGCACCTGAACACATTTTCAAGATGAAAACTAGCATCCTGCTATGTTTAAATAAGACATATACAGCTCTTTCCCCACATATTCCTGTTCTTGGCCCTCCTTTTTGTGCTATCCTTGCTCAAACATCTTACTAGGGTATTCTCCAACTTCCCCCTCAAAAATATTCTCAGTTTCTTACATGTTTAGTGCCTTTTACCACATTCTCCTCTGTCCACCTCCAGGAGGGGGCTGGAAACAGAGCCATAACTACATAGTGATGACTGCAACTGATGGAGGAAACATCTCATGCAAACACACACAGGAGACACAACACTGACTGATTATTAACAGAAGTGGGCAATTGAGAAAAGAAATCTCAGTCCTTCCTAACTACAAAGTTTGTTAGTGAGTTCAATAACATAAGCTGAAGTATTGTTCCATAACTATGAATTCCTGTTAAAATGCCTTACTCCACTCAAGTTACTGCAACTTTACAACCCTAAGAGCGACTTCTAGCAATATTACAGACTACAGAAATACTGCAGTCTGTAATGATCACAAAGAAACACTTTAACTTAATTTGTATGAAGTTTGTTTCATTGTTTCAGAAGGACAATGAGTCTGAAAAGAGTTAAATTTTTTTAAAGTATTTAAAGGCTCAGAGAAAAACAACTTCATGAATTATATTTTCACATAGATACAAATTTAATTATTATATTAATTACATAAAAGACAGTCTATCACCTGCTACAAGGAAACACAAATAATTTAGCATTGATGGTTTTCGGAAAATCCGATGGCAAGTTGCTTAGTTTACAGCAGGACATTAAGAACAGCTCACAGCTGGCTCTGTGTAAGTGAGAATATGATCTCAGAACCCAAGGTACAAGGTGTACAACAATGCCAAATGGCACTTCACAACGATGATTTTAGATGTCTAGAACTTAATGGGTTGGTCTCAAATGTATCCTTGGCAAGACAGAGTTACCCACACTCTTCCTGATTCTTCCCAGTACTGTTAAAGGATACCTATTGATTCTGACAGACCACACATCCAAACTGCTTCCAGACTGGGCTCAGCTCTGCACGTTCATGCAGCAATGCTTCAGATCTAATGATTCCTAATGCAATCAGTTGCATGGACATTATGATACCTAAATATTCGAGTTGAGCCTGAAAACAACACTGGGTGAGAGAACTGTACTATTATGTAAGGGACTTTAGCTCTATATTATTTTAAATAAAGGAGAATGAACTACTTATGTCAAGAAACAAAACCAGATTACAGTAGCTTGTGTTTTGTCTCATACTGCCACCTACTGAGAAAAAGCAAGCTACTTCTCTACAAAACTTTTCTGTTTGTGATTCTTCACATTTCATCTCATAGCAAGATGTGATTATATTTCCTCAGATGCAAAGAAATCTGCAAAACCTTCTACTCTTCCATTCTTACCACCATATAATGCTGGAAGTGTACAGCATGTACAAATATCAAGCCACTGTTCATGAGACACTAAAATAAACTCCTGGGCCTACTGCAGAATCCAAGTGCCCGGATATCACCCAAGGAGAAAGTTTAAGAGTGTTGTGAAGGTCTAAATAATTAAAGCTGATGGGTTGTATCAGTCAGCACAACCTCTGTGCTGAGGGAATGATCACATGCTTATTCCTGTACTGTCTGTGGAGCCTGTTTATTTATCCAAATCAAACATAAGATAATTTAACAGAAAAATGTAAGAAATAGTGAAATGACAAACCAGTGAGGATAATTAAATATTCTTTAGCACGTTCCTCAAATTCAGTAATTTTGTAAGAGACAAACCGAATAAGCCATTGAAGAGCATTTTACTTCCTACTTACCCCCTTCTCTGTTGCACAAATATCTGTATTTCCATAAAGCGTTCCAAGACCAATGACTTTGCCACCATTTGTCCGTATATCAATTTTATGGCTCTGAAAAAGGTTTAAAAAAAAGTCATCACTTAGAATAACCATAATTAAAAAACAAGGTCTTGTTTTTCAAGTTGTACCACATTAACCACCTTAGATGACAAATTCCCATTTTACTGTGAAGGTTTCTTCTCAAGTGATTGCCAAATGTACTGTTTATTTCATAGAATGGTTTGGGTTTGATGGAACTTTAAGATCAGCTCCTTCCAACCCCCCTGCTGTGGGCAGGGACACTTTCCACTGGACCAGGTTGCTCAAAGCCCCATCCAACCTGGCCTTGAACACTTCCAGGGATGGAGCATCCACAGCTTCTCTGGGCAACCTGTTCTGGTGTCTCACCACCCTCACAGTAAAGAATTCTTTTCTAATATCTAATCTAAACCTGCTCTTTTTCAGTTTGAGGCCATTCCCCCTTGTCCTGTCACTACATGCTCTCTATTTTCCCAGTGGAGTCAAACTCAAAACAAGTCACCTTTCCCCTTAATTTTCCATACAGGTGAGTGGATGTAGTTGGGTTTTTTGTTGTTGGTTTTTTGTCATCGTTTTTGTTTTAACTAGAAAAACACTCTCTCACTATCTGTTGAACGAAGGAACAGGGGAAGAAAGAGGGAACTCAGTGTCTTCCACTGAAGATGTGTGAAACGCCTGGAAATTCTTGTCATCAATAGCACAGTCACAGAGTCAGAAGTAATTGCTGAACATGGCAACAAAATTAAAGGGTCTCTCTGGTCTCTTTGTCACTTCTACGCTGATGGACTGTGATAAGCAGGAGAAAAAAATTAAAAAGAAGCAGTACCACTTTCTCAATGAAGAATTTGTCAATAATTCATACTCTGAAGAAGACCTAGATCTCATAACTGTATTTTGGAATTACTGCTGTCCTCAGTTGACCTAGAGACTTGAAGGGATAGGTGAACTGGATTTTAGCCAATTAAAAAATAAGAAAAACCCGCACCACTGAAAAAAATCTCAATAAAGCAACCCTCAACAAATCTCATTGGCTGAGTAATTCCTACTTCACCAAAATTGCCAGAATACCCATCTTTTCTGTTGAAGCATTAGCATCCACGATAAAGGAAAGCAGATATGAAATCTCTAGGTCTTTTGTAAAGACATCATAGAGTATACCAGAAATCAGCAAGACTTTTGAGATACAAGTTATATGAACAACTTCTTGCAGTCTGTAGTAGTGACAAGAGAATTAGCAGTTGTGATGTTTGCTGGTGCTCTTGAGTGATCCCCACATGACCAGATTTTTTCATTTGAAGTCATTCACTGATCAATGATCTTTTGCTCTCTACTGTGAAGAAAGGGTCTCCTGCTTTGTTAGTCAATGAGGTTTGTGAACAGTATGACAGTGAAGCAATATTAAACAGTTTTAATCTATCCAGGAGAGGGCACTGTCACTTCAGTTTGCTCCGTAAAGCACATTCCCTAAAGGAGAATCAGGTCTTGTGCTCCACTACAGTATCTAGTCTATAAGGTTTTTAGTAGTTTTGGAAAAACCGTGAAGGTTAATACTTCTGTTTCTTACTAATGATTCTGCTTCACTGACAATACAGAGTATAATTCCTGAAGCTATAGTAGAAAAAAATGAGTTGCAATCCCTTTACTAGAACTACAGTACTTCTTAAAAACAAGATGAGACTAAAGCCTGGCTGTATGGCTAAGAGATACTGTAACTGAACAGCTGTTTACTCTTGCAAATACCTGTATGGTTGCAATTTTAATTCAAACCCTTCATCTCACTACTTCAGAGTCAATAAAACCTGAGTGGCAACATATCTTCTCTAGTACTGTTTGTTAAAGCCATCACAGTAACCAGAACAAAGACAAGCGATCACCACTCACAACCCAAAAGAATACTTAGGTTAAAAAAAACCCAAAGCCTTATAATTTAACAAACCTTTGTTTTAAAAAGAATTTCAGTTGAAATGTGTCATTCTTTCTTGATACTTTAAAATTCTAGAAGCCTTCTGGGACAGAGTCCTTCCTTTCACCGGAGGCTTAAGGGAGCAAAGAAGCTTCCTGTGGCCACCAAATCAGTGGAAACAGAGGCACACACACAGAGGAAGAATCAATTTTTACATTTGCAGTTTTGCGAATCAAGCAAGGCTCAAAGCTGACAGAAGAGAAAAGCAACACTAAGCTCATCTAAACTATAGGGAGACCATGGAGGAGTCGGTCACAAAAGCTTCAAACTGGTGACTTTGCAGCCTTCTTTTCAGTTCATTACAGAATATTGTTTCACTGTTACTTAAGTCTCAAGAAAAACAGAGCTGACTCAATTTTTTAAAATTCAAGATTTTTCACATCTCAGACTGTATTTGAGACAAGATTCCCAGGATGTTAGTTACCAGCCTTTCCTCAATATCCACTTTTTCCATGACATTGTGAAAACTTCTTGATATGCCGGCAGGCTGTGACTACTGTTATTATTGCTGGTTAAAACCACCTTGTTTTCTCATATTATGTAGTTTCTCATGCACTGCTATTGTCACTATTGTACAGAGTAATTTTTAACCAAATCTTTAGACAGGCAACACATAGTTTTTAACTTTTTGTTAGATTTTGCTACCTTCACATGACTAATATGGTCAATTACACAGAATCTGAAAGATACAGGTTGTCTGTAGTTCACTGAAGGTGGAGTAAACCCAGCTCTGTTGCATATTAAATTTCCACCTAGGTTCGGTTTCCCCCGTGTGTGTTATAAAATCATCTCTTACCACAGTAGAGAAAAATGTTGATTTTTTCCTATCTCAAAAAAAACCCCAAACTTAAACTTCGAAATTGCCATATTTGAAATCTCCTTCTTTTGAATTTATATCAATTCCTGCAGGTAGAATTCTAAATCTCCAAGTAGCACCTAAGTCAGGTAAACTGTGATTAGTTTTACAAAAGCTTATGTCAGCAACACTGAAGTCTTAACCTTGAAGAACAACAAGGTCATGATTCTGCTATATACAGTATTTATCAGATATATTTCAGTCAGGTATTTTAGACACATAAAGTGTAACTCCTGATTGAAAATTAAACTACAGGGTTTGTCAATAGCACTGATATATCAATTATAAAAAAAAAAAAATCCACAGAAAAAAGCAGCAGCATGCTGCAAAGTCTTGATTGAGCAAGCATAACTATTAACCTTCTAGACAAAACCTCAGTCTATCTCTTTTCTTTGAGGGGCGGGGTGGACAGAGGTCAGGCTTATTACTGTCACTGTGCTGTCTTCAGCTATCACACATACATGGACTTTGTGTCATAATTGTATGCAATAATTAAAGGTGAGGTGCTACAGACACAGCAATACTATGAGTGTTACAATGAAAAATATCAGAGTACTTCTCAGCTCCAAAACTGGTATTTAGATTTTTATACTATATTCCACTACACAATCCCCTTTCAAACACTGTCTGAGAGTGGAAGGGTTCTCTGTACCTTTATTGACTGCAAGACACTAGTCCCCTTCTCCGTTTCTATTTTGCAGTTATCACATTCTATTTTCTGAATCTTCACGCAGCCAGTCCCTGATGTTTTGATATCCAAATCTAGAATTAAAAGAGTTTTATTAGCAACAGAATGAGGAAAGTCAGATCTCTTTAACACAGTGTTTGATCACTTTATACAGTAACTATATGTAGTAGGGAAAAAAAGCAGCTTCTTTCTTACTTTAGAACCTTCTTGCAAAGTTTGACCATGCACTTTCAATTGCATGACTAGTCACTATCAACAATCCACACTGAAAGTTCAGTAAGCCTGGGTACAAGCCCTCCAGCTCCAGGAGAGAACATTGAGGCAGCAGAGTGACTATAACCTCTGGAAAGGAATCAGCAGGGTGTGGTCCCTTAGTGAAGTTTTATCTTTTTTGTTTTTCAACTCCACCTCCATCTCACAGCTACCCTAGTCACCAGTTCTAATTCAGGAGAATTAGAAATTCTCCTGAGACATTTGGGCACCCTGACATGGGTTTTTGGGGTGGAAGACTGGCAGGTTGCCTGAGATCACACATAGAATAATAAGGTTCAACAGCACAAACACATAGGCCTTGCTTAGGCCTGTGCTGCTCAACTAGCCTGTGGCACAACCCAAAACTAGGTATAGAAGCATTTGCATGTGTCATTCTTTCCCAGCCTTCTGGAAGGCTGACTTACTCCCCTAGCATGTTTGCCTCTAGTCTGAATCACCTCACCTTGTTACTGTTCATGCTTCCACAAAGAAAAATCACTAGGTCTTGTAGATAATAAAGCAGCAAAAGCGGGTTTTTTTGCCACTTGAGCTCACCCCCAAGTCTAAGGAACTGCGAAGAAGTTTGACAATGTTAGGTCTGGGGATTCTGACTATATTGATAATAATTTATATTAATGATCACCATGAAGACTGGCAAAAGGTAAAGGCAGAAGTGGGAAAAAAAAGTGGGTTTCTTCTTCTAAGGATAGAAGGCAGAAAGAAGAAAAACAAAACAGGATTCAGAAGTGTTTGCTGCAAGATACGTAACTGAAAGACTAAGAGAGATAGTGAGCCCCACTACTCTCTTAAGAAAAGAAACCTTCACTTAAGCACATGTCAAAGTCTTTCCTTCACCTCCACTGCCCACTAAGGTGACCAGCAATATCAAAAGAAGAATCAGAGTATTGATGCCTTAAGCCCCTAATGGTTTTTTATTTTTCTAATATTTGTAAGACTTGTAAGTTTTATAAGTAGGTTTTAAAAGCAGCAACCTCCCCCCCCTTTGTCCCTTGTCCCTTTCCCTTTCTCCAGTACCCTTGTTTATACATTCCTTAACCCTCTTACCCCATTCTATGCTCCCCATATCAATCCTACTTCTGAATACAGCAGAAATGTTTAGTCTTTTGTCAAGGCAAGGCCTAGATGGTTGACAGAACAGCATATCTGGGCCTAAACCACAGAATACGGTCAAGAATTAGGTAACTATGTACCCTTTGTGCTCTGATGATGGTGAAGATGGGATGAATGGGGGGTCCCAAAATACACCCCAGACTCATTTTCAGGGGGTGGACCCGGGGCCGACCAGAGTAAAGGCCACACGGTGGACACATCTGGGATTGGATGGACGGTATTATAAAATGTAACCTCTCAGGTACGGCCTGCGCGCGCGTCGTGTACCATCTACTGCCTTGGCAAATAAACCCTTTCTTATCACACCCCTAATTAACTGCTCTGGAGATATTTTTTTCAGCACCTAAAATACAACGGCAACAGTATGCACAACCAGCTTTGCCCCAGTGAGATTGCCAAGTCAGACCTGTGACCCAGCAGAGCCTGAAGATCAATACTGTCACACCACTACTCAGGACAGGTGCTGGAATCATGCTGACAGTAAGCTTGAAGACCATGAAGCTGAGAGACTGGAAGCTCCAATTAACAACAAATGAAAGTTCTGCCACCTGATAAACCAGGAGAACCCAAGGGAGAGAGCTAAAACACATAACATCTTTGCTGCGTGTTACCTTATTGCCCCAGTAAGCAAAGAGGTTAAATTTAGTGAAGGATGTAGACTGTGTTCACAACTAACAATTCCCTAAGAAAGAAGGCTACAAGAGGTGGACTGGATAATTCCCAGAATGTTGCTTTATTTGCAGATACTATTTCCTTAGTCTCTTCACAGAAGACTTCCAAGAAAAAGATACTGTGACCAAGACTGTAGTCAAACTACATTTCTTTAAGTAAACTCTATGATACGCTTTGAGGCATGTAAAAGCACAAAACCAGGCAAAGTCGTCTGCTGACTACCATTAGAGGTTCAAGGGTCACCTCTACAAGGTTTTATGTTGGTAAAGCCTAAACAGTTTCACTAGACTAAAAATATCTGAGTGATATCTGAGCTATTTCAATTGGATCAATGCTGATCCACAGGTTCTGAAGGTTAGCCAAAACTTTTACATAAGGTTTTACTTCTCAGGGAGCAGTTGGATTGTTTAAACACAGCTCCCAGAGAGACACAAACAGAAGCACTCTCCAAATATCTACATTTGAAACAGTATGTCCCTGCACAGCAAAAACCTGCAGAGTTCAAAAAGAAAGCAATGTTATCTTTGAAATACAAGCTGTCTTGCCCAAAACTGCTCAATTTCCCCACTGGAGAACTGCGCAGTTCTTCAGGAGATCTACATCCAAGACTTCTGTTATTTAGCTTTCTGAGAAGGGACTCCCAAAAGCCTGTTTGCTTGTGCAAATCTTTGAATTCAATCAGCTCGATACTCTCTTGCCCTTATTGGTTCTGTCAAAAAGGAAAAGGTCTGGGAGCGGTCAGTTTAGCCATGATACAAACTTACTTAGACTTTTACAAGAATAAGTTTTTATTAAACTTCTGATCCTGTAGCACATATTATAGTCATAATTTGAAAGGTGGGTTAGTAATGTAATCCTGGCTGTATCAAACATGGGTGCTAAAAGAAGACACAGAAGTCTGGAAATTCATGAGCGTGCTGTTAAGAAACACCAGGGATTTCTGAAAATATACTTTGATCCTCTGCAGAGTCACAGCACTTTGCTGGCCTTGATATAGCAAAAATTAGTGGACAAGGAATTGAGTCCCCCTGTCTCACAGACTTCCTCAAGAAGTGATAGACATCTCCAAAAAGAAGCAGGCTAAAAGCTCAGTAATACTGCCAATGAAATTTTAACAAGAAGGAACAGGATACAATCTGTTTCAGTGCAAAAACTGCAGAAATAGCCAGTTTGATTCCTCCTTAGCAAAGACAAGGACTGAAGCCAACTTTAGCCACACAAACCTCAAAGAATACATAGAAAGCTATAATTTTTGAAATAGACTGAAAAATTATTTTCAAGTGACTCAGCAGCCCTAGACTACTAGAATAATCTCAAATTATGGTTATACAAGACCTCAGTTGAGTTTACTTCTGAGTACTCAGCCAACGTACATTAACCAAAAATCAAAGTTCTTCAGGTTTAATTAGCACATGCAGTTCAATATGCCAAGACACAGGGTTCTCACTATGTGCTCCAAACCTACAGCCATGCGTCTACACTGTTCCTGGAATAAACATATATATGAGGCCTGAAGGAAAACAAATAAACTAGATTAGAGAGGAATTCATTGACATTAAAATCTATGAAGGTTAAACGAATCAGAGGATTATCAGATCATGTATGATATTGTAATACTGTACAGTGCTTAAAACTAGACACTAAAACACAAATAGAGGATCTGTTAGTATTTGCCCTACTAAGCTGCTCGCAAGTTGCCTTTGGTTTAAAATTCATACTTAAGTTCAGCATCTAGCATCTTCCACACATGTTCTTCAGGCTCTAAGGAGTTGTGGTGGGGGAAAAAAAGTTTTCCCGCTAGAGTTAAAGAAATGGTAACCCTCAAGGGGGTGGTGTCCCTTGGAGTTGAGCCAATCAGCGCTCCTGCAAAATATAAACATATCACAACCAGACTGGAAAAGAAGGAGGAGGTAGTTCTTGGAGGGGAAAGGTGGTTACATTCTGAAGCCATGAGGAGAGGGGTCCAGAGCCCCCCAGCTGGGGGGCTGCAGAAGCTTGGAACAGTGTTAGACTGGGCCAAGTATCTGTAGCTAGAAAGCTGGGAGTTTTTCTCCACTGTGAGTGGGCAGCAGGAGCAGCGGCAGAGACAGCAGTGAACAGAGGCTATGGCTGAAAGCCAAGACATAAGGAGATGCAGCAGAGATGGCATGCAGCAATGCAGAGAGAACTCCTCCAAGGAGAGAGAGAAAGAGCCAGCAACAGAGCAGGACTAAGCTCTACAGAGGGAGAGAGTTTGGGGTAAGTACTGAAACAAACTCCCCAAACCCCTCTTAGACCTCCTAGAGAGGAGGAGGAGATGGACTCCTATTTGAGAGGAGTCTTGGAGTACAGCAGCACTGGAGACAGAGGAGCTGAGAAGCTCAAAGACGTCCTGGAGCTCGACCAGGACGGCCAGATGGAATGAGGAGGGGGTGACCTTGCTCCCCCCGCTGCTGCTGCCACGCTGGCAGTTGAGACAGAGCACAGGAGCTCTGGTAGAACTCTTGAGGCAAAGACTTTCAACTGAAAGCTGCCCAAGACGTTCTGACTCAGAGGTAAATCCCCTGAGGAAGGGACTTTCACGAAGATGCCCCTGCACCTTGTGATATGCCCGTGGTGAAGCGAGTTTTGCCCCTGCTGGCAGTCCACGGGTGAGACTTTTGTTTGGAGTCAAAGGGCTGAGAGGGGTAGAGGAGACCCCCCTTGTGTGTATTGGAAAGAGATCCAGCTACAATGATCCAGCTACAGCTGCTGCATGGAAGAAGAGAGGCTGCTGCCCTGAGAGTGGAAAGGATCTTTCCTTTTCCCTTCTGGACTTCTATTGGAGGGAGAATAGATCTGATCCATTGTAAATACTGATTTATCATAGGAGAGATAGTTAAGATTGTATATATAATTATATTTATTTGTATAGTGATTGTAATATAATACCCTTTCCCCCCATATTGAGTCTTGTGTTGCGTCTGGAAAACCCATCTCACACTGAGGTGAGATGTGGGAGGGGGGGCTTGGACTCGGGAATTGGATTTTAGGGCTCTCAAACTACGACAGGAGTTTCAGATGACTTAGAGCTTCCTGGATAAGCTCCAGCCTAAATTGCGAAAGCTGTTATGAAATGCCTTAAATTCCAAAATGAAGAAAGACGCTAGAACACTGTAAAGACATTCACATCAACCTCTCAGCTTCTTACAGGTAAGTGACAAAAAGAGTTCAGACAAAAAGGTCTAAGCAGAGCAGAGTTAACATCCTTCTCACGCATTCAAGGCAGGCCAGAGAAAAGCCAAAGTCTTGGCAGAGCAACAACAGTTCCTTTCTGGTTTGAGATGTGTTTTTACAAGGGATAAGATCTTTTGCTTATGCAATGATATTTAATGGATAATTCTTTTCTAAATAAACAAGAAGAGCAACTCAAGCACAAGTTAGAGGTGAAAGGACACATAGTAGAACTTCACTGGTAAGCAGCAATTCTACTTCACTGAGTAAAAAAAAAAAAAACTTTACATTTTAAGAAAGATATCCCCAGATATGCTTGGATAACAGCATGAATAGACAATACTAATATCATGCTAATTATGGGGTGACAAACAGCAACTCGTGGAAGGGCACTATAATCCACAGACTGTCCACGGAACCCGAACTGCATGAGCTTACCACAAACCCAAGTGGAACAGCTTAGAAACCTACAAATTAAGAAAAACTGTTTCAAGACCATAAGATGGCCTGCAGTGTTGGCTGGCATTCAGAATATAGTAAGAATCTCAAAGACAGGACAAAAGCTAAATGATTTTTTTCCATCAATTAGGATTCATTATTGAGACCTTTAGGAAGGTTTCCCACATTGAAACTCTTTATGAAGCCTGAGATTCTCCAGATATTAACACAATGAATTCTATTTCCCAGGATAGAATTGACTCATAATAGTCACTCAGAGATCCTGGAGAAACTGAAATATTAAATGATCAACAGTTACAGTGGGCAGACACACCTGGTACCAGAGAATTGAAGGGTAAAAAACCAGGTTTGTTTGATTCTCAGTAATTCTGGGATGGACTCTATGAATGTACTACAAACAAGACAAAGCAATCTTTGCATTTGCCAAGCAGAGGATGAAAAGGGGGGAAAAAAACAAACTAAGACTGTAAATGAAAATTATTCGTGAAGAGTCAAAACTACAAGTCCTTGCAGAAGAGAGTCCTGTTCAGTGACAGAGTCAATGAATATAGAGGTAACAGCTGATCTCTTTAAGAGAATGAACTTGGATTTTCAGGTATCTTTAACAATATCCTTAGTTCTATACTGTCTTTCAGCTATAAGCTATGCACCACCTTCAACACTACAACAATTTGGAAATTAGCACAAATAGCAAGGTTGAAAAATTTTATCAGTGACACCAAATTATTGAGACTAGTTAAAAACTCACTGATGAACTGCAGAAAGACCTTGGAATACCACCTACTAAAATGATAAAATAGCAGGAAATTGAATTGTGGGACTGTGGCAAGAGGCAGGGAGTTTACCAGGAAGTTTTCACTCTGAAACTGTTTACATGTGGGCAGGGACACCCGGAAGAGAGATCCATTGAGGGGCTGAGCTGTATCAGGCTCTGAAAATCCTGTGATGAAAACAGTTGACAGCTAAGAGAACATTCAGATGAAATAGCATTTATGTTTGTTCTGCTCTTACTCTTCCCTGAGCATCTGTTTCTGACTGCAACCAGAGAAAGGACAGTGGGCAGCTGGACTTGGGGTACAAATCAGTACAGCCATTCTAACACACTGAGGGCAGGAAGGGTGAGATGCCCCTGATTTTATTTACAAAATATTTGTGTCCATATTAGTTGCTAGGAAACAAAACAGACCATATGTTTCAATAAACATATTTAAGAAACACTCCTTCAGTTACAAACAGTGTTAAAAAAAAGTAAGTTATAGGAATGACTACGGCTGGAAAATGTGTGTTATGTCAAACCCATGGCACTTCTCCAGTTTGAATTATATACAGTTCAGGTCCTTCTAAAAGAAAACAAGGGGAAAAAAGCACATTGCAGAATTTTCCCTAAAACACAAGGGGGAAAAAGCAAGATAAGATAAAAGGTGCCATATGTCTTTGTTCTACAAAAGTCACAGATGACAGAGTTTGCAATCTGATGACTGCTTTAAACTTTGTAACTCAAGTGGGGCATTTTGTTTGTTTGAGGGGTTTTTTTGGCACCTGTTTTGCCTAAAATACATTTTGGGTTATGAGTTCATTATTTATTAAAAATAAAAAGTTGTGCTGATAGTGAGGAAATAGCTGCAACGTTATTGTATCTTAGAGTTACAAAGGCACCATAGATTAAATAGGATTAAATCTGACTTCTAACAGGTATGGGCACAATCTGCAGAGCTCTGGTTTAGCTTTGAGCACTTCTACTTGCACAAATCCATAGGAAATAAACGGGAACAGCCCTTGGAATGCAGGTGTGCACAGTACATGCTGAGGACGCTGCCTCCGAGCCGAGGTTACGCCTTTTCTGGAGCAGGAGGTGCCAGAGCAAAAACAGTGCGCTGTAAACTACCACTCAGCAGCGGGAGCTTCAGCGCTAACTACTGATGACAAAGAGGTCCGCAAATCGAAAACAACCAAAACATATATCCAAACACCCACGGAGTCAAGACACAGAAAACCCGGGGCGTTCTTAACGCCCTAATTCGCGGGGGCACGATGCCATGCCCGCACACCGGCTCCCAGCCGCAGCAGCGACCGCACAACTCCCGGCGAGAACCCCACCCGGGGGCTCCTGCGCACCCACCGAACTTCACCGGCGTCCGCACCTCCACGGCGGCCTTGCTGTCCACGCCGTCCGCCACGATCGCCACCTGCCCCAGCGCCTCGTCGTGCTCCACCCGCACGGGCTCCCGCTCCCGCCCGCGGGGCGCGGGGCTCCCGCCGCTCACGGCCACCAGCACACGGTCCCCGCCCGGCCAGCGCTGCGGGTCCAGCGGGCGGACGCTCACCTGGCACGGCAGCCGCACCCGCAGCCGCCCCCGCGGGCTCACAGGCAGCGCCCACTCCCGCGGCGCGGGCGGGCCGGGGCCGCTACGCCCGCGGCGCGGGGGGACGGGCGGCGCCCACCGCCCGCCCGCCGCCCGCACGGCCAGAGCCGCCCAGCGCGGGGCAAGCGCCCTCATTGCCGCCGGCTGGGCAGGAGCCGCCGGGCGCCGCGGTAGGAGCGCGCGGAGCGCCTGGGACGGACAGGACGGAGCCGCTCCCCGGGAACGGCCGTGACCCCCGCCCGAACACGTGACGCGGCTGCACGCGGGGAGCGGCCCCGGCGCGGACGGTAAACAGGCGGTGGCCGCTCCGCGGGGGCTGCTGGGAGCTGTAGTTCTGCAGCGCGCGGGCAGAACCACGGCCGAGCCCGCGGGCCTATCGGCGAACGGGGAGGGCGGGGCATCGCCGGGAGTCTGCTGCGATTGGGCGGCGGGGAAGGACACCGGAGCCAATCAGGAGCGGGGGCGAGCGGGAGGATGTGGCCCGGTTGCCATAGCGACGGGGACGCCGCTCTGGCCGGAGGGCCCCGGGGGGCCCCAGGGGGCCGGAGCCGGACCGGGATTGGGATCGGGGCCGGGGCCGGGAGAAGGAAAGCCACCGCTCCGACGTTGAGGCGGGAAGCGAATCCAGCGGCGGCGCCTCAGCCCTGTTTGAGGAGTTCCTGAGTGCGACCCCCGGCGCGGGGCCCGGGGCGATGCCCTGTGCCGCGCGTGAGGACACGAGGTATCCCCGGGGCGTGAGGGCCTTCTCCACGGTGCCTCAGGCTGGGAGTGGCGCTGCCAAGCGTTGGTTTCCAGTGGGAGAACCGTGGTGGTTTGTTTTCAGCCCTCTCGGCTCCCTGGCTCGGCAGCCTCTGCGCCGCGGGGTTTGACAGCGGCGAGGAGGAGGCAGGATGAGAGGGATGGGAGCGGGGGAGGCGGCAGGGCTCTGGGTCGCAGCCTGGCAGAGAGGCTAGCTGTGTTAAAATATCCTCGGTCAGAGGGTGAAGAAGCAGTTTGGCAGCTCTGCTGGAAAACCAGGGGTTCTTTTTTCCCAAGGTGGTAGTGCGAAGCTCCAGAATCACTCTCTGTCAGTAAGTTTTGATTAATGTACTATTTATTGTGACTGCTTTTTAGCAGTTCTAAAGCAAGGCAGATAAATATTTTCCTGAGCTCTGTACAGACGGACCATGAGAGAATTGTCCTTACAGGGTTTACAAACAAGCGGGGAACCATTTAATTCAGTTTAAAGGACTTTTTCGGAGTTCATAGCCCCCATTATCATTGTATAACAATTAAAAATAAATGAGGTGGGGCAAGTGAGCAACAGATGATGTGGACTGCATTCGTATCAGAGGTGTAGTTTACTACCAATAACAGAAGTGAAATATGCACAGTAAGCTGCATTGTCTTAGCAGCATTGCAACACAAGAAATAATTAAGTCTAGGTGTGTTACTTCATTATTGCCTCCCTTTTGCACTCCATGCATTGTTTTTCTTCTTTTTCATAAATGATCATGCAAACATGATACTTGCTCGTCAAACACTTCAGTGTCATTAGCCTTATTTTCATTTCTATCACTGTCTGGCAGTGGTTATTTATGAGCCTGAAATGACATCTCAGTGTCATGTCAAGAGGAAAGAATATGGCCCTGGCTTTTTGGTCCATTGGTAATTATCACTGTGGAAAGTTTAATAAAGATCCATATTTGTCAATAAAGCCCTTCAAGTTAAGTTATTTCATTGGTTTACATCGTTCAATCTCAAAAAAATTCTTAGATGAAGCACAAAAAGGGCCAGCCTGCCTTATGATAGTTTAGTACAGAAAAATAGAATTCTAGAAAGTCAAAAATGCATTGAGAAATATCTTGGGACATGATGGAGGATGGAAGTTACTTTTTTCAAGTCTTCAGAAATAGTTGATTTTGGGGGGAAAAAATACTACAGAATTCTCACTCTTAAGACTGAATACCAAATTTGAACGTTAGGTGGTTTGCCAGGGAAACAGTTACAGACAAGGAGTCTGATGCAATGTGCAGGGATTCCACTAGATGACAGCCAGCTCAGCAACTGACTCTGTAGTTCGACTGCTCGGAGGGAATTCGGTCTCTGCTTAGGTCGGGCTTAACCACTGCCCCCGTTTATCCCTGCGCCAGTGCTGCTGTTCCTCGTCCCTGGCTCCTACCTCCTCTTAAACGACAGTGCTGCTTTGCCATGGCCCCCTCCTCCTCCAGGGTCTTTGTACTTGATGCTCCTCGTGTAGGCAGAGGTTTATCAGTACCCACAACCCACAGTAAACTGTGCTCTGCATCATCTTTAATACTGTCAGGTTTTGTGTAGTTGAGAACTTTGTTCAAGAAACCATTCCAAGACACTTCAGCTATGTTTGTATTTCACTGTTGGTGTTGGACTTTCTCGTTAGATACAGTCTAAGCATACTTATATGGCTAAAAATGAGAAGAACAGATAAAAAATATTTGCTGAGAAGAAGTTCTTTCTCTATACATATGAATCCTCATGTTTTTAATGTTTTACTTATCTATATTTTTGCCATATTGATTCAGTTTAACTTTCATGCTCTTGTTTGGATCAGCTGGTATAGCATGTAGCAGACTCTAACAGTAAAATGAGATTTATTTTCACCTTCAATTTTCTGACTTGTCATTTGCAGGAAAAGAAAGCTATATCAAATTTACAAGTGAAGATGTAATTAGAGCTCCACTTTCGAGATACCTGCATGATTCCATGATTCCTTAGCAAGTTACAATGCTTATTTGCCATTTTGCCACATATTAGTGCTGTTGGAAGTCAAAGAATATTCAGTATTTCATGCAAAAGATAAAAAAGCCCTAGAAGTTATAAAGTGATATAAAATAGGTTTTGAGCCAAAGCAAAGAGGTGCTTTTAGGTGAAGATGAGAGAGAGATTTCAAGGGAGGAGGAGTTAAATAAAAAGGATCTATGAGGGAGGCTGTAGAAGGAATACATTTTTTTAACTTTTGTATTTCTAATTAATCACAGAATAATCACAGACTGCTACAGGTACCCAGGGGGCGTAAACTTAGTCTGCCTGGTCAGGATTGAGTTTACCCATTTGCTATAATTGTATTGAAGAATCAATGTGACTTCACTTCCTAGGAAGAAAGGAATGCCACCTTTATTGGTATTTTGTATTTCTTTAGTGGTGTTTTTCTGAACTGTTTCCTTGAACCTTTTTAGTTCTCAAGGCATGCCTAGGGTTCAATGTGTAGAGAAAGTGTATTTTGTTTGGTTTTCCCTCTGTACTTTAGCATTAAAAAGCACAGAGTGGTTTGGATTTCAGGGATTTTTTGTTTGTTACGCTCCCAGAAACTTTCTGAGGAAATTAAGTTCCTCATGGAAGCCATGCTAAATGGGAAGTGGCAAATCTTACCATTCAAAATTCTTCTCGTCTTAGCCATATCTAATTAGAACTACAGCAGATAAAGTCTGTGTGTGGCTCAGAGGGATTCCAACACACATAGCAGAGACTTGAAAACAAGGGTGGTAAACAGTGGAACTTTTCACAAAAATTAAGCTGTTCAGGTACACAGTGTACTCTCACTTCCCCAGAGTAGTTGTCTGTGAGATTGTACAGTCTGATCAAACAATCCATTCTAATTTACATATTTGTTACCATGTCCTATCGTACATGATGTGACTTTAATTTTAATTATAATTTAATGTTGGCATGGCTTTGTCATTTAAAGACACGTCCCTTCATGCTGAAGCACAGACTCTGCCCAGTTAAAACAGAAGATCTGCTGCTTTAACTTTTGGAAAGAAGCATTAGAATATAAATTTTAGAGGATGAAAAGAAGATCACTGTGTGATTGAATAAATCTATGCTACTCCTATGTTATTAATATTGTCTGTAGGTCTTTTGCCTTCTCCTTGAAGAGGATATGGTAGAACTGGAAAAATTTTGGAGAAGGATGATAAGGACATGGAAGGCAGAGAAGGACTTTCATGCCAGTGACAGCAGGTAGACTGACTGCTTCAGCCTAAAAAAGGATTGTCAAATGAAGATACAACATTAGAAATAAACCTAGTGGCATAGAAAAGTTGTGATTATTCAGTGGCTCATCCAGTAGAAGAACTAGGAGCCATCAAGGAGCCATATTCAAAAGCCACAAGAAGCACTGGTTACTCATGTCATGCAGAGGTAAAATCAAAATCTCCCTTCCACTGGATTTTGCCAATAACTGAAAGTTTGCATGAGTTCAAGGAGAAAGGAGATGAGTTCAGGGAAGCATCACCACACCATGACTGGTGGATACTTCTGTCCCTCCCCAGGCATCCAGTGTCGGCTGGAATCTCTGTGCAGAGCTAGATCAGCTTCTGGTCTGATATCACTGTTCTTATGTTCCAGCTGCATTACATAATTTCTCTAACTAATGTGAAATGCTACGTCAGTCGTCTTTCAGAGTAACTTTTATTTTTCAAGATTTATGTGCAAAAGGAGGTAGCATGAAGATGTACATAAATATCCTGAGGTTTAGACTGGATATTAGGAAAAGTTTCTTCACTGAAATTGGAACAGAATTCCCAGGGAAGTGGTTAAGTCACCACCCCTGGAGGTATTTAAATTATGTGTAGGTGTGGCACTTAAAGACATGGTTTAGTGGTGGACTTGGTAGTGCAGGGTTAACAGTTGGACTCAATGATCATAAGGATCTTTTCCAAACTAAATGATTCTATGCTTCTAATTCTACAAATGCAAGGGATTAAAATAAAGTTTAAAGGGGTTCATCAGTCACTTGAAATGTACTTCCCTCAACAGAGACTTTTGCAAATTTTGTGTCTTCTAAATTAGTCTAGTTGATGCATTCACACATGGAACTGCATCTCTTATTGCTCAGAATCAAATTTTACTACTTTCACATCTGTCAGTCTGGAGTCAATGCAGCAAAGTGTCACGTACCTGAATCCTGCAATGACTTGTGTATGGACATTGCTGTTTGCTTAAGGAAAGATGCTGAAACTAGTTTGGGCAATCCGAGTTCAGACTTTTATTATTATTGCTGTCCTGAAGCTGTTTCACAAGACAATTCTCAGCCTGACTTAACCCAGGTTCCAAAACGGACTTGTAATTCCCATTCTCTGCAATTCTGTGTCTTGGATCAAGGTTGTGATATTATTTGCAGTTCTGCAGTTTGAAAACGTCCGTATTTGTTGAACTATTCTGTAAAGTTAGAAATCATGCCAACTTTCATTTCTATTTCCATTAGACAGTTTATTTATTAGATACTGCAAATGTACACGTTTTCCACTTTGCTTTTTGAACTATATATATCTGATTTTGTATAAGCTGAATTTTAAATTTAATTATGTACCAGGTAATGGAAGAATGCTAAACTTATTTTAATGTCCCATAAACATACATATGTTTTGTTACAGTCTGTTCCCTCTTACAACAGAGTGGAGACAAGGGCTTGTCGCACTAGTTAAGGCTGTCTAATGATTTTTCTCTGTCTCAGCTGTCTATAGCTGTGTCTTAATATAATAATTTCAGATTCAGAAGATTTTTTTTTTGTTCTCTCCCTGCCCAGCAAACTGGAGTCTTGGTGAAGACTTTTTTGTACTCCTGTACTCTGCAAGGAGGTGTATTTTTGACTGGTGTCAACTGTGTGTTTCACATATGAATATTGACAAAAGTGCCTACATCCATAAAACTCTCAGATTTTGGCATTGTTCTGCTTAGAGTTTCTGCCACAGTGCTTTTCCCTCTGTCTAAATTCTTCCAATACATTCAGAGTAACAAATAAAGCAGCAGCAGCCATAAGTATAAGATGTTTATGCTAAAATATTCAACAATTCTTTATAGATGAAAATTGCTCTCTGTTTATAAATGTGTATACATGTTTATGTACAGTAATTCAGAGTTTATTTCTTGGCCCCTATGATGTTTACAGTTATTTCACAATGTTTTGACTCCTCCTGGAGGGATCACGGAATTGCTTTTTTTCCATAAGCAAATACAGACACTGAAATCTCTCTAAAAGTCAAAATGTCCCTGAAGGAATTCCAAACAGCACTGAAGAAAGTCATAAACTTCTCAGTTTAACTTTCACTACCTTTATAGAGAAGTGGCATTTCAAAAGGTGAATACAAACAACACAACATATTTGTATCCATTTTCCCACCACAATTATAAAAAGAAATTATGTTTTTCTTAACTGTCAGCTTTCTGGCTGTGCAATGCAAAATTGCTCCAGCTGTTTGATTGGAGTAATATGGTATATACTACTGAAATAGTCTCAAAATTTTTTCTTCATTTTATTAGAGTTTTAATTTTGTTTGTCCTTGATTTATAATAAAAAATTTTCTTTTAAGAAGGAGAAAGGTCTCCCATATATTATGTGAAAGGCTGAATGGTGTCAAGACTGAATAATTTGAAGCAGCTGATATGGTTTTTATAATGATTTTGTCCCACAGCAGAATACAATGTTCTCTGCATAATAGTTATCCTGCATAATAATTAGCCTAGAAAGATCTGGTGGTGTCAAGTGAACAATTGCAGAAGTTGCCAGTCTTTCTACCAAAAGTTTGAACTAAAATGCTGTGATACTGATTTGTCCATTCCCGTCACCTACAGACAACTTCAATGAACTCGTGAAGGAATTCTTGAATTCCTCCATCTCTGCTCCATCTCTACTTTGCACTATGCTTTGCTCTACAAATGCTCTGTCCCTCCCCTGTCTCACTGTGTCATGGCAAGATTTCTGAGTGCCTCAGAAATCTGTCTTTCCCTCTCTTTCCTCTGCAAGATACTTATTGCCTCTCTTTGGTCGTCCCATATCTCTCATATCTTGCTCCTGAGATGTTTTGTCTTCTTTCATGCTGCTTCATGCAAAAGGTTGGTATTTTAAAACTCTCTGAATATACAAAACTCTTAAGATACTGTTATGCCAGAGATGGGCTTGTCAGCTATTAACTGGCATCTGATAGACATTGTTGCCTTATCAGGGTACCAGGAGCATTGTATCCCCTTGTATTCTACCTCCCATTTCCCTCTTCCATCTCAGCTTTTCACACACCCCAGAGAGTTCTGATGATAGATGCCTGGGAACATAATTCTCAAGTGCTGTACTTGAGTGTTTACACTTTGTGTAAACACAAAGTGAAGTTACATGAAGTTGTAGTAACTTTATGGCATCTTGCTCAGAAGCAATTAAAGAATATCCTTGATCTAACTGTTCCAAGTGCAGGTATCTTAGAAATTTCTGTTCCTAAATCAGAACTATGAACATGGGATTTTCTCAAATATAAATATAGAGAAATTATCTTTTCCAATAACCCTACTTGTTCCAACTTTCTTTTTTCTCTCTGTGTGTGTTTATTAAAAGACTGTGTTACATAATTTGAAAAAGAGCTTTCTTCAGGATAAAGCTTATACCAAGCTATGGTTTTGAAATTTGTATTTTAGCTTCTTTTAAAGCAACTTCTTTTGGGTAAGAAAAAAAGATATTCCCACACTTACTAGGGATCAAAATACAACTTAAATCCTGGGAGTTTTATTATTACTCTTGAATTAGTTCACTTGGATATTTTTCAGGATCATATTATTTTAACAGAGGTCATATATTGAAAATGTAACCTGGTACGTAACTGAAATGTTAGTACTACATAGGAACTCTGACATTAGGAGGTCTCAGAATAATGATTTTTTCCAGTATTTTTTTATCTCCTATTCTCAGATTTTATATCCTGTTTTCCCATTTTGTATGCTTTCAGGGTTTATTTGATGAGTTTGGTTTTTGTGTTTGTTTAAGTATGGCCATAAAATGCCTTACAGACATGAATAACTTCAGTGATATTCCTCACACAAGTTAGACCAGTTCTTGTCCTCAAGATCTCCGTGTTTTGTGAAGGGGCTCCTTTTCAATGTAATTACTCCCTACCAGGTCAAGGGACACTGAAGGTTGGGCTTATGTTGAATGGAGAAAAGGGGAAATACATTCCTGGATTAATATTATGGAAAACACAAAGTTCATAGCACTTGGAGACTCTGTATAAAGACAAGCCTGAAGGCAATGGCTGGCCTCCCCCATATAACAGATTTTAAAACTCATCTGGTCAAAGCCCTAAGCAAGTCAATTTAGTTTTGAAGTTAGCCCTGCTTTGAGAAGGAGATTGGACTAGATGACCCCAGTGGCCTTTTCCAGCCTAAATCTGTTATTCAGTGTGTGTTCTTTAATATTGTTTTGCACGTTGTCTAACATTTTATGTGATGGTAACACAGCCAAATATTAGAGTATTTTAAAAATACTCAAAAGAATGACAGAGTGGTAGTGCAGCCTCTTACAAGTCTTTCATGAAGTTGTAACTGTAGGCTTGCCCAGAGTGCTCACATTGTGACTTGTGTTGTTTGAATGTGGGTCTCACATGTTGATGTGCTTTTTTCACTACACATTTATCTTGCCCAGTCATGTATATCCCTGGATATAATGAACTGTATTTTGGTATTTTTATTGCTTCCTAGAACTTAAAACTATGAGTCAAGCTGGTGAAGAAAGTTCCAGTGTCACAGAATTTGCAACTGAGAATGAGCAACAATTGACTCCAACAATCTATAGCCGAGACGAGGGATCCACTGACGTAACAGCAAGTCCTGCATTTCAGTGTTTAGATGAGGTACCATGTGCTCCATCTTTCCCTGTCTGTAACAGTGCATATTGTGTCCAAATGTATTCATCTGAAGTGTATATTTTGTTGTTAACAATGGAAGGTTATTACCATAGACCATCTACAGTTTCCCCACATCTTCTCTGATTTTTTTCTAAGTGGTAAAAAAATTTTATGAAGCAGTAACATGCATAAGGCATATTCTTGTCAGGGATGCTGTGCTTGGTAGATAATCATGTTATTTTTTTCCAGTGGCCATGGCCTTAAAGAAAATGAGAATAGAGAGGTCTTGGTTTTGGTCTTGTAGTATTCTAGCTATAAGGTAATTGCATCATGATTTGTAGAAAGGCTTCACAGCTGCTGGAAAAATGCCAGGTAAGTGCCTCCTGAGGCACTAGTAACTGATGATAATAGAATAAACCTTTTGGAACTCAGTTTCTTTTGCAGGATTTTCTGTGTTAAGGAAATTTTCAGAATACTAGAAATATTTTAGAATTTAAGATATCAAATACATATGAAATGAAATCCTTAAAAGTGTAATGCCAGAGGAGTCATTAAGAGATATCTAATCCAAAGTTTACACTGAGTAGATTCTCTGCAGATAGTTGTCTAATGTATTCTTTAAAACTTTGATGAAGATAGCTCTTTGTGTATCCTTTTTCAGCATTTCACCATTGCCAGAGTTTTAAAAAATAAAGATGTTCTCCCTAAATCCCAGTTTAAATTTCCTTTGGAGTGAATAATGCAGCTTTCTTCTTTTTTTCCCACAGTGACAATAGAGAGCAGTCAATTTCTGCCTTCTTTATAATAAAAAAGTACATCTCTCTTGTATCCTTAGGAGGATTTGTTCTCAGAGTTCTTACTTACAGTTGCTTTACTTTGGGCTCTTTCCAACTCGGATGTGTCAGATCAATTTGCTAGCCCAGCTCTCTCTCACTACCTAGGACCCAAGGTCGTTAGAAAGGAAGGGCTGAGAGTTTGTAGTGAAGGGGAAAACAGGACTGGCCTTTTCCTATCCTGCCATTAGATCATACTGAACATAGCATGAGGCTGAACAGTCTGTCTCTCTCTAATCCCTTGTGCACTCAAGAGGCATAGAGATCTTTGCTTTCAGTCCAGTGCCAGTAAATGGTGAGCCCACAGCTTCCAGAAGTTTGGCTTCCAGTATTGTTGCAGCACAACCCCCCTTTCTTCTCAGTCCAGGGCAGTTGCAAAAGTCCAGGACAGCTCAACTCTCAGGAGAGTTGACCTCTTACCTTACAGAAGTCCTCGTGTCTACTGAAAGTATGGAAACTGCACTTTGGGGAGTACTTAATTCTCTAGCTACTGCCATAATTTTTCTATAAATTTTCAGTTGTGGTTGAATTTTTGTGACATTGAAAAGAAGCATATGCCTAATACAAGATACCTTTACCCGCCCCTCCCTCCACCCTACCCGTGGCCCCTTCTAAAGTGTATTCTACCTTTCTGTTTTGTTTTCTTCATTTTTAATCATGGTGAAAACCTATTTTTCTGGAGTTATTCTATAAAATTATTAGATTGTTTGGCCCATTTTTTTCTCCACAAAAATCTTTCCGAGGAGGTTATTCTGCATATCAAATTTAAGGGTAACTTGTTTAGCTCTGATAACATCGTAAACCATTAAAATGGGAAATAGGGGGTAACCTTAGTATTAGATGTGTGAACTCAGGAAAAAACATGCTGTGGAAAACTAAAGTAAGCAATTTGCATAATATTTCATAAATGAGGTCTTTCAGTAATTCTGTCAATTTTTAAAAGGGAACTATGACTCATTTATTCGTATTACCATAATTATTAACAGTTCATACTTGTGCTTTACGGGTGAGTTTGGCTTTTCATCACTTACTCACATTTCTTCTCTTCCACTGACATGCTTGTTTTCCTTTGTTGAACTTTATACATAATTCAGGGATAAATATATTACTTTGGTCACCATAGAGGTTCTTGCATTGACTCTGGCTTCAACTTCTTGGAAGAGCTTTCAGAATTTTTCCACAGAAGAAGAATTGTATTGTCTCAATTTTACTGACTGATCATTTATGCCTGCATAGCAGAATATACTTATCAGAAGGGACACCTTTTGTCATTAGAAGATTTATTTGAGTACACATGTATCCCCTCTTCCAGTTAAGCCAGTCTTGTTTTTATTATGTAAACAGCAGATATGCAAACATATAAAGAGCAAGAAGTCAAGCATGCACTTTCTCTCTCCTTCAATTTTAATAACACATAGTAACATTTCTTAGCCTTGTGGGTTAGGTAAAAATATTAAAAACAACAGAGGTTTGAACAAAGGCCACTCAGTTCATTATGATTTGCTTTTTTTCATCAAGGGTTGCTTCTTTTCACCAAGTGTTTTTTTTATCACCAAGTAGACATCAGCCTATTCTGTTGGTTAGAAGACTGCCATACATTTACTAAATTACTACATTTCCACTTCTTTGAGCCTTTGTTGTTATGTCCTTGAAATAAAGACATTTGCACTGACACTTAATTGAATTTTTTGACTTGTGAATCTTTCCTTGTATCCTGTTTTCTTCCAGTGTTAGAATTAAATCAATCTGCATCATGTCAAGAACTTTCATGGAAAACTACATAGTCTACTATCTGTGTGATGAAAGTAATGTATTGCTTGGATAAGTGCTCCATTAAGATGCAATAAATTATGCTGTTTTCATTTTTATTTTAGTGCATTATAGACCATGTATATATAATCTGATTCTTAAAAGGCAGCAAAAAAAGGTGTTGATTTTTTTCGTGTACATTATCTAAATTTCAAGAGCCATTAACTTTATTAAATGAATATTTTACTAGCAGTTAGCTTCAACAAAGTGGTCTGAATTTATTCTCATTCTTTGCCTGCAAATTTATGATTTTTTTCCAACAGATGGTAATCCATTTAAGATCTTCCTTTATCCTTATATCATCCTCTTTACAATACTACTGTTACTGCTAAAGCAGCAGACAAACTGAAATTGTCATTTGAATGGATAAAGCAACAGAACATGACACAAAATTGGGTTAAATGCTCAAAATGACAAAATCAGTCAGAATGAAAATAAAAAAGACCAATCAACAAATTGCCTCCTGCCCATTCTCCTAATTTTTGTCCATGTAATTTTTACCCTTCTCTGTACTGCATAGTAATATTTTTTTCACTCTGGACACTCAAGTTATGCTTTCCTTTCCTCCACCTGATCCAATTTTAATGGGAACATAAATAAATAAAACATCTGTTGTCATAATGATGCTGTTGATGCTTAGTTTGTAGCCTGTTACAGTCTTCAAATCCTCTTCTGTTGCTTATTTTTGTTTTGTTGCCCAAATCACAATCCCAGACACAAAAAAAGACCCTTACTCTACACATCTTGCCAATTTGACAATGAATCATAGACAGCTACACTCCAGGAACAGTTTTCCATCCACTTTGTTTTTGCAAGATTTCTAAGATTTAGTAAATCTTATGAATTGATGGCAAAATCTAGTGGTTCATCTTTTTGATTCAAAAGACATGGAAAAACTAGTGCTCTACAGGTTCTTTCAGTTAGAAGGAGAAATGGAGCCTAGTATACCTTAATTCTGTTTAGTTAATTCTGTTTATTTATAAGTTGGGTACAAGCTCTTTTTTTTCAGGGAAACGAAACCAAGCCAGTCAACAAACAAACAGAAAAAAAAGGAAGAAATCAAATGATGGGTATCTTCTCCCAGTTTGAGGTCTTTTTACTCAAGGCCATGTCTCATGCCTTTTCTTTCTCTTCCTTTTATTGGTATGTTCTTGGGCTAGAAAGATAGTTCAGTCAAATGTATACCTGCATTTTTAAAACCATACCAGAAAAGTGAGTCTGCAACATTTATCTTGCATGTCTTTGCAGTGGATGCTCTGAAGCAGCTATTAATTCTGTAAAATAGCATACTTGTGAATGGAAAGTGCTTTCCTATTTACCAGATTCAGTGAGCGGGTACCCAATTGGAAGGTACCACAATAGTCCCTTTCTGCTACTGAATATCATGCCTTTATGTGCTAAATCTAAACCTGCAGAAGAATAAACTCCTTTGGGAGATTTTCCTGATTGGTCTATTGCAAGCTGTTGTACTCTGTATCCTATAAAGATAAAATGGTCAGTGCCCCCTGTCTGATACCAGCGCCAAATATTTAATTTTCCTGCTTTTTTGATGGAAATTGTCACTATCATGCTGCATTTCTTTTTGCTGGTGTCCAAGTGTCCAATTGCCATCATGCACCAGAGAGCAGAAAGAACCTTTCATGAATATTTTTCAATACTATTTTGAAGCTCGGAGTGTTTCTGAGATGAATGAATTTACTACCTCTGACTGCTAAAAGTGGTTGAACTGCTAATAAAAATGTTAAGCAAAATCCTGATTCTACTGGAAACATAGAGCAAAATCTCCATGTCTACCAAAAAATCAACAGTATCATGACAAAGACTTGTTTTGCTGCTGCTTATCTGACACTGATTTATGTCGATCCTCTAGCTGGAAGAGCTTTAAAGTCATAGAATGATGCATATATTCAGTGTTTGGCTGTGGTTTAAGGGGAGAAAGATACCTCTCATTTTCTCTTTTTTCTCATCTGTGCTGCAGGAAAGAAGAGAAAGTTGCATAAAGGTTGGCTACAGCTTTCAAATATAAATACTAAGAATCAATATTTCAAATATTTCTTTAGTGGCATAATGATGTCTAACAGTCCCACTTCAGAATATACAACCTTTTCCAATTTTTTTTTTTGCTAACAAACTGGTTGTTAATTCTCTCCTAACTTAGGTTAAATGGTAGGTGTAAACAACTGTCCTGTTTAAAAAAGTCAATACATCTTTAATCCTAGAAAAACTACCTTGGGAGATTAGGATATAATTTTTTTTTTTTTACATGAACATCAATTTAATTTCTGTTCCCCTACACTCTGTAGTAATGTACTGTAATGTACTTTCTGTTATTGTAAAGTATGATCATCAGTATATTTTTGCATAGTAACCATAGCAGTGGATAATTTGTTTCAGTACTCTCCAAACATGTATGTGCTCTATCAAAGATGTAAAAATCCTAACACAGCTGTTGAATGCAAACAACATTTTCAAACTTAAGCTGATCCTGGCACACTTCACATTAAATGCTTCAAAGGCTCCTGGCACAACAAAAAAGCCTATAAATATGTTGGCACAGACAGCTGAGACAGATGTTGTCTCTGCCTCCACCCACAGGAATCCGACTGCTAATTAAATAAACCTTTTTTAACTTTGTTGATGTGGTCACTTGGGAAGTCAGTTAGGGGTTATAATGTGTCTGTAAGCTAAAGTGTGGTTTTTAGCAACAGCTTCCAGCAAGTAAGCAATAGTTTACACAGTGGATGTTAAAGTGATTGGTGGTTGTGATAGGAAAGTTGATTGTTCTAAAAAAAGCTGTAGAGCAGTGAGGTGAGTTACAGGTGCCTTCAAACAGCAGGAATGAGAGTGGAGCCAGTGTAACGTGCTTTTTCTACTGAGAGGTTCTTTTCACCACTAGCAGAAGACACTGTGTGGAAGCAAGGCCAGGAGGTTGTTAGATGTGTTCAAACTATCACAAAACTGGCAGTGTTTCTCTTCATTTCTGAAAAGCCTGTTCAAAAGCATTTATGATGTCTTGTTTCTTCTATGCTGTTATAAAGTCAAGTGCAAATTTCATGCCACACAGAGGAACCACAGCTCCCTAAAGTTGTGAGAGTAGGAGAAGGAGTAACCTTTAACAGTCACATCATCTTGCATTTTAGTCTTTTCTTCATCATTTCTGATACTCTTGAGACTTGACAAGACAAGCATATTTCTATGTTGTTTTCCAAAGCTATCTCCCTCTTCCTGCTTTCTCACCCAAAATACATATTTGAAACAAGGCACTCTTGTACTAAAATTGAGTCTACCTGACTTTGTGTGTCAGCACAACAGTGTGATGAGGAAGCCAGAGCAATGTTAACCAACCATACATTCAATAAAAATGCCCAGTGGTGGAGAATCATCTGTTACACAGGTGAGGTTACTTTAAATGTTAAAAAGTGAATTTCTGATTTACTTTATCAAAAACACCTGTGTCCAAATACTGCTAAATGAACAGAGTCTAAAGTTCTGCATGGGGAAGGATTCTTATATTTGGGTTTAGCATATGGAGGTTGAACTGCAGAGTGCAGCAGAGGGGCTTTTGTACTCTACCTGAAGAAAGGCAGGAGAATTTCTCTTTCTCGAGGTGAATCCTGCTTCTTCATAAAAATCATTAACTCCTTGTTATTCCTTAAATGTATGTGTGTAAAGCCTGCAATTATTTTCTACTGTGTAATTCTAAATGATGGCATACTATTCTTGTAGAAATGTAATCGTAATTAAACTTAGAGTTTGTCTTGATTATATGAATATAATGAAGTATTTGCGGATATTTTTTCCAGTTACTAGTTTCTAAATGGGTTCTTCTTTTACTGAGATCAGAAAAATCTGATGAACAAGGACTTGAAAAATAATATTGATTCATACACTGTTCTCATGACATGTGTGAGGCTTGGACTTGACACATCATCTTAAAACATTGTTTTCTGTTTCTGGTTACCAAATTAACTTCTGTCAGAAGAATTGTAACTCTATGGAAGTTTAATTAAAGCTATGAATGAGATTGCTTTAGTAAATGAAATGTTTGTCTTTAGTAGGGCCTGTAGATGGTATTGCTCAGCCATTTTTCTTTGAAACTTAGGTGAATGTCTTCAGGCCCATATGTACCATTTCCTCTTATTTCCTGAACAAAAAGGAACACAGAACAATTTTTTTTTTAAGTATTTTTAAGTCCTCTTTCTTTGTAGGCCAGTATTTAATTATTTTCTCATCTTTTTTCCTCTATGAAAACTCAAAGTTAATCCTTCCTGTTTTGATTTTTCTATGACATGTAAGTCATAGAAGCTAAGTAAATTTGGTGTTTGTTTCTTTGGTTTGGTTTTGGTTTAATTTATAAACAAGGTCTAGGTATGGATTGAGGACCATCTTAATTCATTTTCCAAATAATCAATAAAAGCAAGTTTGTTTTCCACCAATTTATCAAGCTACCTGTTCTCAGCCCTGAGTTTGACTGCAGTCTTTCCCAATAAACACCATTAGGGAAACAGGTATTTCCATTAAAAAGGGAAGGAAAAAACATCACTGCTTTAAAATCTTCATTTCTTCTCTGGTTTATTTTTTTTCTATTTTTTTCTTTGGTTTTATTTAAGCAATGCATAGAAAGCCAAGACATGACAGTCTGCTTGGCTGATCACATTGAACAGATGGGTTTATGTCTTTATTTTTTGGAAACAACCCGTAGGAATTTTGCTAGCAAACCCACTGTTAGTAATCTTCTCTAAAATTCCCAGTTTAAATATTAGCAAGATTAAAAGCACAAGTGTTTTCATAAAGATTATCAGTGTCACCTGTTTTCCATAAAGTGAAATACACAGTTTGAATTATTAAGCCTTAGTCAGAGATCAAGTGCTTTTTGCTTGTATAAAAAACTGTGTGCTTTAATTTGAGGTAATATTTGTATTCACATGCTTTGATGTTGCTTGCATTTGACCTGAAAGGTCAGAGTAGGTTAGTTTGCCTCTTCTCTTTCATATTAAAGATAGAGGTTGTGTAAACCCATGATTGGGCAATTACTTTTTTCGCTTCCAAAATATGAGTAGTTTCAAAAAAATGTCTGAGATTTCAGCCTTTGGTATTATCTGGCAGCTGAAGTGTCATAAAGCAGATCTCTAAGGAGCTATCATTATTAGCAATTACTCTCCTGGCACATCACATAGTCATCTGTGTTGGTTATGTGTGTTTTCTTATTGCTTCAATTTTTGCAGAAAATCAATAAAACTATTTATGACAAGTTTTTTGTATAGTTCCCATGTACATCTATGACAGTAGTACAGCTTTAACAGTGTGACATAATTTTATTACACCAAGGAAGAACAAAAATAATGTTTTCAACAACACTTTGTAAAACCAGTACACATTTACAGAAGTTCAGCTACAACAGTTCCAGGCAGGTAATATTCAAATTTGTGCAACAGCATTACACTTTGTTTTTCCTTTCTTTTTTTAATAGCTTCAGACAAGGCTTTTGCAGGTGATATTAGTCACATTTATTATTCTGTTAAAAATCCTGTGTTTTGTGAAGTTTTCTTCAAACAAGATTAAAAAAGAATAATTTCTAACAACTTAACAGGAAAAAGCCATTTTCAAGTAGAAGCTTGTAGATACTGGAAGTCATACTTAGCTAGTTACCATATAATGAATAGGAGCAAATTGTGCATTTAATGCAAAATTAATAAATATAATCATATGCAATTAGATATTTGCCCTTTTAACTAGTTGGTTTTTTGTTTTGTTTAGACAATTCTTTTTTATCCCAAAATAAATATTCTATAGATTCAAAACACATTCTCAAGGAAAGATTATACATCTTGCAATTAAACTTTTTCATTGCTCTTAAAAATTGAAATATAATAAACCAAATTACACTTGATTTATCCTTCAAAGTATTTACTTCTTTAAAATATATATTAATATTTTACAATTTTGTAATTGCCAGTGTTCTTCATTTGCATAAATTATAACCAAAATATTTTTGTTATAATCTTAAAAAAAAAGTAAAGGTCATATTTGTGAAGTATTAGGTCAGATGTATACCTATATTGTGTGTATACTTCCTTTAATGTCTCTTTTAAACAAAAAGTCTATACCAGCAATGACCACACTTTAACTAGTAAAGAAATAGTTTTAGTGTAGTTTTTCTGCGTCTCAAGATTTGTTTAAGCAAGATGGTGGAATAGCCTCTTGCTAAGATAAATTGCATCTCCACTCAGAATGTTGATCACTATATTTGTAGAGACATGGCCCAGATACACAGTCAAATTTGTGCTCACTATCTACAGTGTGAGCTTTAATAACAGTATCCCTAAATGGCAATTCCTGAAGTATTTGACAATTTGATTTTTTCGTTTGTTACATTTTAGAAAAAAAGTCTTACCTTGCATATTCTCTTTTTTCCTTAGAATTGCCAGTGGGTTTTTATGTTTCTGTGGCTACGAAAGGGGTAGTCTAGAAATGGGGAGAACAGTCTTTTTATATATTTCAAAACATTTATAATATTTCTTGTAATTTTAGGGCCTAATGATACTTAGATTGAGAAGTATTAGGATGAAAGCTTGAGTCTCTACAAGAGCATCTTGTAACATTTGGCTTACCTAAAAGATTCAGGAGAAAGCAAAATGGCTCTGGAAACTTAGTATGTATTTAGAGGCATTAATGCAAAGACATGGATTCTTCTTGATGTGTCTTTCTCTTACCTGTCTACCTGCCTATATAAATGTGCAGTAAGCTACACAATAGCTCCTTCCTCACACAAGCAACAAGTAGGGCCTTGAGCTTGAATGGAGGAACCAAAAAGAGCAAGAATGTTGTCGTTCATTACGTGCTCGCTACATGTGTAGATGTGGCACTTGGGGTTGGGGACAGGGTTTAGTGGTGGACTTGGCAGTTCTATATTAACAGTTGAACTTGATGATCTTAAAGATCTTTTCCAAATTAAACGATTCGGTGATTCTATAGTTATTTCCACTGCTTTTATTCAATTCTTCCACCAACTTCTTTGAAAAAGCTTTGATAAAGAGGATGAGATTTGAGGAATCATCTTCATTTTCTAAGTTTTCTCCAAGTCTTTTTTCATGTATTTGGGCAAACTATGTGGCCCTCTATTTTTCTAGTCCTTTAAAAATAATAATTTGTAGTACTTTTCCTAATTTATATTGATATTGCCATGGTATACCTTTGAAGTTGTAAAGGATAGATGATAGAAAAAGGCTGCTCCAGAGACACTGGTTTTTATTCTAAGCGTTGACAAATTTATATGTTATTAATTATACCTATGAATTGTGTTAAATTGGGTTAAAATGTAGGTATTCATTCAGACACAATATGTGGAAGACCATTGAAAAGTTTTAAATCATAGAATGTGATATATCACAGTCAGTAAAAGCACCAAAAGCAATGTTTAGAATATTTACATAATGATACCAAGACTTATCTGGTGTTAAATTTTAGCAATAACTATTCAGATACTTTCATGCTGGTTTTAATATATTATATGGGTCAAACTGTCTCTAAAAAGTTATGTGGAAGTATGTTGCTTTGTCTAGAACAATTTTATGCCAAACATAACTGAATACTTGAATTCTGAGTATAATACTGAGTAAGTACGATGTTGAGTGCAATCCAATGCAAACTAGTTAAGAGAAATGTAACTGCACAAAAATCATTAGACAAAACTTTTGGGTCTGATCATGATTTTTACTGATTTAAAGGCTTGCCTATATCCAGTGGGAATATCATCAGAAATACCATGCCATGTACCCCAGAAGATGCCGTTGCGAACACCTTTGTATTTCTTGTGGTAGTACTTGCCATTGAGGTTGGCTGACAAGCAGGCATCAAACCACCAGCCAGAGCTGTAGTAGGCGCCGCAGTTTCCTGAAGGATACCTGTCGTTGTCCTTGTCTGGAGTTGTAAAGAACTTTTGGTCATGGTTGTAATGTTTGCTGTAGTGAAGGGCGTCTCCTGCTGTGCCGCTGTAGCCGTGAACGCTTAGGCGGTACTTCAGGTACTCGTTGGCCACGTAGAAGTGTTCGTATTTCGCATACTCTCTGATTCCATTGAAGTCTTCGAGATCAATTCGCAGTTGCATTTCTTGGCTCTTTGTCAGGAGGTGAATTCTGTCATTCCCCAGCCAAAACTCCCTGCTGAGGTTTCCAAAGCCATTTTTGTAGTCATTCCAGGTTCTGTTGAAGTTAGTGCTGCCATCCTGACGCCGCTGCAGCACTGTCCAGCCACCTCCATTTGTTTGCATGTCGCAGTAAACTTCAAAGCTCTCATTTCTGGGGTCAGGACTAATCCTGTAGATTCCATTACTCCTTTTACCTGCTGTGTAATGGTCAGCACAGTCTCTCTGCATTATTTGTATAACTGGTGGAAGAAGAGACGGTGTTAGAATGAACAGAATTTCAATTTTAAAAAGAAATAAAATTTTTACCCAGACTGATGTGGCATGTACAACTTGGAATGAAGAGACTTTTACACTGGAAATAATATTGCAGCAATTTCAGTTCTAAGGAGAAACAGATTTTTTCCTTCTATAATAGATGCCACCTAGGATCATCAGATAGCTGTCCAAAAAACCCCATTTAAATGACTTTTTGTATCAACTTGCCAAATATTACGGGCATTTTGCTGGTTTGCTTTACCTTTCCTCCTTTTCTCTGCTCTTCATCCTATTATTACCTCCCGTCCATATTTCTGATGCTTTGTGGTTACACACTTGCTGCTTTTTATGTTTAAATGTATACAATCACACCCTGTCTGTAGTTATCTGGCAGTGTGTCAGAGAAAGAACTTTGTCCACATGACAATGATGTTATTCTGGCTGTCGTTCAGTTAACATAATCTGATAGAGAACATAACATCCTTAGGAATGTTTCATGTGTTAATGTTGACTGTACTTTAGGAAGCAGGAAAAAAGTAATAAAATTGTCACATCTATTGTAGTAATCATGTGATTCCTAGAAAGATGAAGCTGGAAAAGCGATGGTGCTTTCCTGTGTATGTGGCATTGCTGGCTTTACAGAAAGGAAGAATGTTGGCATCTACTATTAACACGGCTTTTTCCCACCAGTGGGTGATGTGTTTTATTCAGAAGAAAAATACCCCCAGGTTTTTCCTTCAGACTGAAAGTCCATTTTTGATCTACAGTGTCATCCAGTAATGTGATTCTATTCAACAGCATGATATTAGAATTCCATGTTCTTAAGTAATACAGAGAGCTCTCAGAAGTTCTGAGTTAAGAGTCAAAACCATAATGTTTATTCCTATTGCAGATCTGAATTTATGGGCATGTTCATTTGCAGGCTTGGATTGTAATTTTTCCTGGAATATTTAAACAATTAATCTACTTCTTGAAAGGGAGAAGTGTTCTCAGGCTGCAGCAGGGAATAAGACCCAGGACTTCTTGTTTGCCCACAAACTGGAAATTTATGAAACCAGAAAGTATAGGAATTAAAGGCTTAACAGTCAAATCTAAATCCGCAATGCTTTCTAATTTATTTCATTGAATTTTGTATCAGATCTTTGGTGGACTGAGTTTCAGACCAGATACTGACAGAGAATATACTTTTCAGGCAAAATTCTTATATAATCCAATTCAATTCCTATTTAAATAAAGTTTTACTGTTTATTTCAGTGGATGCGGGAATAGATCCTACATAGGAAAAAGTTGTAGCTGTTGTCCTTGCTAGTTTTCATAATGAATATATTGCTGCTATGAGAGCTTTTAGCATGTTGCTGTAAAATATAAGAAATATCTAAATGATCATATGCTGTGAACACTACTCAACATTTCAATATGTGTAAGGAATATCTAAAATTAATTTAGTCTGTTATGAAGTACTGTACTCGAATGTGATTCATTGCCCTTTATCAATATAACAAAAAAAAATATCACTCATTCTTTTTGTAAATGTTTTATATCTGAATTAAAATAAATTGATTTTAACACTGATTTTTATCTGATTTAAGCTGATTGCATATATAGTAAAAACATTACCTTTATTATTACTTATTTTCTGAAACACCTGGAGATCCTTCTATTTTCAATATGGGTAGACAGAAGAACAGTTTTATTTTAAACTTGAATGGTAAGCAATAGAGGCTTAAATAGTGTAATGCAGCCTGATCTGTCTCTGTTTTGTCTCTCGAGAGCCCTATCTTCATATCTTTGATATCTAAGTGGTAGAATACACTGACAAAGTACTGAACATTTCCTGTTTTCAAAGATTTTTACATAGATATAAAAACTTTATGACTTTATAAAAACCCTTGATCTTGCCTTAGTAACAGTCAACATCAGAAAGAAATTATTGGTTCTATTTCATGATTTAATTAGGACAACTAAAAAGTAAAAGAAAAAAGTGTTCATCAGTGATAACACCTCTTTCTGTTTTATGTTGCTTATATATTAAATTAATGCAAAGGATTTAGTATTAAAATGATGGTATATATGTTACACAGTCAAGAAATACTGTTAATAAGTTTTTTAGCTGGGCCTTTCACATGTTTGCTGTGATGATAAAAAATTATTTTACTATCCATCTGTTAAAAACGAAACATTTTAATAGATTCATTTTACCCCTTCTAATTCAAGAGGAAAACATGTGTAGTTCACTGATGTTTAATGTCTTTAATGAAGGGTATTACGGTGTAAAATAATGTTGATTTTTCACATTTACCAATTGAATTGCAAAAAATTGTCCTTAAAAAAATTAATGTTTTAGATCCTTAGTGAAGTCCAATTCTAGGAGGGACCGAACACCTGCAGCTCTCAGTAACCCTCTAGTGGCTGCTGAAATGTTTTACAGGAGTATAAATAAACACTAAAAGAGCAGATACTTGTGAAGTTAGTAGCACAGCTATTTGGTTAAAATATATTTTAAATTGTTTACCTAATATTAGTAAAAGGCACAGAAAGCTTATACAGGCAGTAAGAATTAACAGGTTACATACCAGGTCTTGATTGCATTGCTGGACACTTAGAAGAACATTTGTTATCCAGGTTGTTCACAGCAAACGTTAAATTTGCAACCTTACTGTCAACATAATGTTCTACATTGTTCATATTTATGAGGCTCAATCTCTCTAAACGACCCTGCAGTGTCTGAATCTGACTCTTTGCATTTTTTAAGCTGGTTGCCATTCTGTTAACTTTGCTTTGCAGTTCCTTTACTCTGTTATCTGGGATTTCACTGTTTGCTGCTGGAGTTTCTGCATTAGGTAGCAGGAATTCATTACTACTGTCTCTTTCTTGGTTGTCATCTGCCTGCAGCTTGCAATCTTGGCAGCATTTCTTCAGCTTGTTTACTGCTTCTTTAAGGTTCTGTACTTCTTTGAGAGTCTTCTCAAGCAGTCTGAATTCTTTGGGTAACTGGATGGTCATCGGAGGCAGATTTATCTGATAAGGACAATCCTCTCCTTCATCACATTTCCGATTAGTTTTGAGCTTTATAGGACAAGTCTCTGTAACTTTTGCTTCTTTAGCATTCTCTTCATCTTCTAAAACAACTGCAGAGACATTTGTGAAAGCAAGGAGAGTTGTCTTCAGCAAGACTGTGAAAACGAGGAGCTTCATCTTCACTGAGAATCGAGCAGTATGAGGAAGTATGCAAAAGTGGAACAACTTTATAAGGGCAGCTTGAAGCCTGTGAGTTATCAGACTGCCTACACTGTTCTCAGAAATGGGTGGGAGTGCTTGCATCACGGGTGATTAATAGCAGAGCAGAGTAGGTAGTGCTTGCAAGAGTAGCACATTTCAGTCAGTATTCCTGACTCAGAGCTAGTGTATGTAAGCAAAGTGATGAAATGCATGTGTGCTGGTCACTTATTGTAGTTTAATTTCATTCCTTCTTGTACATGGGTTTTCTTTTTGGGGAAAAATAATCATCCAGCCATCTATAACAGTCTTCTAACATCTGTTTCTTAACATTTGAGTGTCTAAAGCTTGTTCTCTAACCCAGACTATAATTTTAACACAGCAGGTGGAAAAAGTAAAAACCAGCCCCTTTCCCGTTAGAGGTTTATCACAGCAATAGCTTCACTGACACTCAGTCCCCTTCTTCCTAAAACTTTTCTTATAACTTAATAGATGTATTCATGAAAATGTTGAAACACACATATAGTTTTGATTCCAAACATTTTTCAGGATGGAGTCACAAACTCAGGAGGATGAGCAGCACTTTCTTCTTCCTACTTTGCCTAACCCACCTTAAAATAGTTGTCTGGAATATTCATAATTTGTATGGCACATCACTGCTAAAAATCACTGTTATCTGATTCTGCGTACTTCTAATTGAACCTTTCTAAGTGAAGGGAAGTGAACTTAAGACAGTTCCCCCTTTGATGCATGGGATCATAGCTGTTGGAAACCCAAAGCAAATCCTGGTGTTCTGAATAATGTCCTGAATTCTAAATCTAAAAGGAGGCAGAGAGCTAGGGAAGGAACTCTCATCAGTTTGGGGTATTGCTCTTCTTTTTATTGTGCCTCGTATCAGCTTTCAGAGTTCATCATGTACTTTACATGACTAATCACACCAAAGTAGTTCTTCTCCAGGTGACAGCTGCCATATACTCCCTTATTTTTATTTTACAGCCACCTTTGCTATTCTCATGTGATGCCTATGCAGTTTTAATGATCTATGTCATTTTCCTTGTGCCTCAAAGCAAGGCATGGATGTGTCTTTATGCATTCACAACTTGGTCGAAAACCAAATAACTTGCATGAGTAAAGGTATTTACACCAGTTCTTGTTTAATTAGTCAAATATGAACCATTTAGTTCCTTAAACCCTATTTGAAATTGCTCATAATACAGATTAAATATTAAACAGACATTAGTCACGCCTATAATCCACAAGTTCATGATGTCTGTAACGTTACTGGCTTTTATACACACTACATGATTATATTGATATTACAGGAGTGAGGCTTGGTAAAAAAACCTACTCATCCCACCTGCTGCAACACTTCTTTCAAATCTCTGCATAGCACTTTCTTGGGAGATGGTTTTGAATCTACCTTTCCCGTCTTCTAAATGAACATCCCGAAACCTGCCATGGTGCTTTTAGTAATGTAGCTATACTGAGTCTCTCTCCCTTTCGGATCATGATAGTTTCCCAGCAATGAGGTGAAAGAACCCCTCACTCAGGTTTAAGATACGGACATCACTTTGGTTTTGTTAAAAATGTCTCAAAACTGAAATGTTTGTAACATGTATGATTTTAATTTGTGAGCAAATTTTTTTAATTATTCATTTAATTAATAGGATGCTAATTTCTTATTGTATCAGTGTAAAGCCAGGTATTTACAGAGGAAATGGAGGAAAGCTATACCAGCCTCTTTTGAGGGGCTTTAGAAATAGAATAGAATTCCTAAATCCTTGTTATTTGGGAAGCCCCTTCTCCCCCACACTGTTGTTTGTTCACTTTACAATGAACTCTACTATCTGCTTTGTGGCTTTAAACTGGACAAACTGTTCTGTATCTGTAAAATTAATAATAATTATCCTTGGTAGACCACATTGTATGAGTTGCCTTGAAATTTTTAAATGCATATTGAATATTGTTGTAATTTGTGACTGCTGTACTGCATTGAAAGCCAGAAATATCATTAAAATTTTGTAACATCTAGAAGGGCAGAAATTTCTAGTAATAGTGAATGTTATAAAAAAGAAAGTTCAGATAGTAAGGTGAGGTATCTGAGCTTTTCAAACATCTTTATCCCAATACATCCATTCCTTGGCCCCATACATACCTTCCTTCTGGGATATTTGCTTCCTCCTTTATGTGAGGCTTCAGTAACTTGAGTTGCTCTGCTATGCTCCGGATTTCATTATTAGTCTGATGTTCTGCTGCTAGGCTGTCAGCAGTCTGTTTGGAGTCCAAAAGATCCATTTTTCCCATGCAACTTCTCATGTGTCCATGAGAACACATCAGAACACAAAAAGAAAGGCAGTCTTATTCCATTTTGATTTTAGTTGTTAATATTTAGATACAGATTACACAGAACTAGTAGCTGTGTGACTTTCATACCTGTTGAAATTGGTCATTGCTTTATTTATAAATTCTGGCAATAGGCAGAAAGGCAGCACTGACATAGAGCATATAAGTAGTAGGTTAGATATTTATATAAGCAATTGTAAATGTAATACATATTATAAAAGTCATGTGGTCAAAGAATATCACTCCTTCTGTTAAGGTGAGGACCATATTTGTGAAAAAACAGGTCCATGAAACTAAATTCTTATTATTTCTGTTCCTTTCCTGACATCTGAAGGTCTGCCTGCCCAAAATCTACGATTTACTGCTAAATATTTTCTTTATCTGTAGCCATAGAAGATGCTGTAGTTGGCTCAGTATATGGGGCGAATAAAGCGGAATGCACTTCAAGAGTGATGACATACCAGATACAAAAGCCTCTCCCTGATATTTTGATTCCTGCAAACCTGCTCCAATAAGACCAGCAAGTGTAAGAGTGGATCTTACTTTTGAGATTCACAAAGAGGTGACAGCAGGAAAGCTGTACCCTTTCCCAAAATGCCAGTCTCCTATGCCCTCTCTTTCTGAGCCGTATGAGACACAATTGGCCACCAGATGCATTATTTTTATCCCGATTTTTATATTTTTCATGTAGGGATCACTCTTTCCCATGAACTGGGGAACAAAACTACTGTTATGAACTTTGTCTTGGGAAAGAATTTGTGATATTATCTTTCCTAGCCATTATTTGTTAGTTTTAGAAGGCTTTTTAGCGGTTTATTTTTCATTAAAGGAAGTCTGGCTCATCCATCTGTAAATAAGAAAGTAAAATTGTAGACATTCTATGTAAGGCAATACAGTGCTGTATCTACCATAAGTAGGTGTATTTATGATTTTCATGCATGTCTTTACCCCCATGCTTAATTTTGTCCTGTTTATGTAGCATCATCTGCAAATAGCTTTTTTCACGTGAAATACTTTGTAATAGACTATGAGCCTTTCAATGGTATATTGATATAAAACACTCCATGTCAGAATAAAGTGAGTAGATATTAATAACTTCTCATGCTCATTTATTTGGTTTCTGACTTTTCTGAGTTCCTGGCTTGTTATATTTAGAATCAATGCAGGCAAGTCACTTTTCTTTAGACAGCAAAATTCAAGGAACCATAAACCCTATGCCCTCACTTTGTGAAATAAAGATATGCTATATTTAAAAAGTGCACTCAGTCTTCCTATTCATCACATTTATGGTTTTCTTGGAATAGGAAAGAGGGCAAAATCATTTGTGAAGCATTCATTAAAATAAAAAAAAATCACTTTATCAAATTATTTAAATTATTTTAACTTCCAAATAGAAATGGCTTAGAAAGGCAATTTTGTTTTCCTGTAAAAATAGCACTTTTGAGGGAAAACAAGCATACATATAAGTATCATCTTATACAAATGTACTTGTTACTTTGTTATAATTTTACTTGTCACAAACATCAGGAGATAAATGCCTGACTGTATTTGTGCAATCAATAGTCTCGTGGCTTCAAGTATTGTTTATTACCTAAATAAATGTGGAGAAAACTCAGTAACAAATCTTTTTCTTCTTGAAAAGCTAATGAATAAACTTCTTCTATGGACTTCTCATACTTATCCTAAGAAGTCTACTTCTTGTAATAGATGTATGTAGTTACAGATGAGAGGGATTCCACCTTATTTTATAACTCTAACTACAGCATTACTTTTAAAACCTTACTGCTTTTTTCTTTACTTTCTACCGTCATAACCTTTCTCTAGAATAATGATTTAAGCAAGGCATGTAATTCCCTAAATATCTGCAGCATAGCTATTCCTATGTGTACTTTCACTGTTTCCCAATCTACAAATGGAATGCAGAAATGCATTCTGATAACAATTTATTGTGTAACTAAATATTTACAGTCTTAAATTAGTGATTTTTATCTTCTTGTTTTAAAATACGTAGAAATATGTCCTGAAGCCTGAAATATTGTTTAGTAGAGAAATTATAGATAATTTTGGAAGTGTTAGTTTTCCATAACTCTGTATTAATATTTGATGCATATTGAAAAATGCACAATGACTGCATAAAAAGTGTAAAGATGGTATTTTCTGGGCATATATAAATTGTGATGCAACACTTTACATTAAAATCAGAGTTTAGGTCATCTAAACATCTGGTGTTTGGACTGAGCTCAGTAGTCATCTTTGGCTCTCACTATAGTCAGAGGCAACTAAGAGCCTCACCGAGAATGTTTCTTAGTTCTTATAAATGCTGGAAAGCAGTCTGAAATAATTTAACGAGTTAAATTTTATTATTAAAATGATTAGAGTCTTAAATACACTGACTTAATTATTAATCTCTATTCTGGCACTTATTTTTGCCTTCCTTATGCTTTCTGAAGTCTAAAGGCAATGTATTTCAATCTTTAACTGCATGGTTTGGGAATAATATGCAAGTGAGACAAAGTAAGGTAGACAGTGTTTAGACTCAGTATACTTCGGGACAAGTCATTATCCTCTTTTGGGTAAAAATTATAAAGCTGTTGGTACATCAGCTGAATACAGGGAGTATCTTATAACTGGTGCAATATATATTCAGCCACTGCATCCTTATTCAGTCGCTGCTTTTTTAAAATTTGACGGGGCAGGGCCCTGAGGTGACCTGGTCTAACTTTGAAGCTATCCCTGCTTTGAGCAGGAATTTGGACTAAATG